TGTTGGCGGGCCGGATTATAGTTCGGAAAAAATGAATGAATTCCTATGCACACTGCACATAGCTTATTTGTAGTGCAAAAACTTTTAAAAACAATACAATAATAAAAATTAAGAACAATTTTAACAAATATAAATTATTAGTATTTCAATGGAAAGTGTGGGCCTGCTTTTGGCTGATGAGATAGGATTTTTGTTATTATTGTGTGCTTTCAAGTAGTTTCATGCTTAGGTTGACCCTGAGCGAGGGCCAGGTAAATGACCTTGGAGGGCCGCATCAGGCCCCCAGGCCTTAGTTTGAGGACCCCTGATCTAGACTGTAGAATTATTGTGATTTGACACCTCTATGGCCTAATGCTATGGAGTCATGGGAATTGTAGTTTGCTGAGACACCGGAACTGCTTGGCAGAGCACCTAAAGTCCTTGTCAAACTAAAACTCATATAATTCAATAGCATTGAAGCATGGTGGTTAAAGTGATGTCAAAGTGCATTGATTCTACAATATGGATGCTCCCTTTTTCCCAAACAAAACAAAACAAAACAAAGAAAATGGTGCTCTGGGTTATAAATGCAAACTCCTTTTGCAAAATGTTAAGAGATTAATATACAGTTTGAACATCCCTTATCTGGAATTCCAAAATCTGAAATACCTCAAAACTCATGTATCTACAGTATCATTAATTACACTCCACTTTTCCTCTCTTAAAAAGAGACACAAAGTGGCTAACAATGCTATAAGCTAAGATCAAATAAAGATGTACAATTCATGGTCCAAATGGCTGGCTGAGACAGTGACACCTTTGCTTTCTGATGGTCCAAAGTACACAATATTTGCTTCATGCACCCAATTATTATAAAGCAGTGTATGAATAAGAATATAGTATAAATAAATATTTTATAATATTGTGTATTGTATAAAATGACCCTCAGATTATGTGTATATGTGTGTGTGTGTGTGTGTGTGTGTGTGTGTGTGTATATATATATATATATATATATATATATATATATATATATATATATATATGAGTATGTATATAGAGGAGGGAGGAGAGGGAAAGGATTCTCTTTTAACCAGAAATCATAAGCAAAGTTCAGAAAACATTGACAAAGTTGTTTTTATAAGACAGTAAAACTGTGTCACATTGAATTTGTCTTTAATTTAATTTGCCTTTAATGACTGTACTTTAATATCAAGTCAATACTGTGTACTATTTAGGCCTAGTGTCTGCGAGTTAATATTACAAATAGGCCTAATAGTATCCCCCATATAAGGCTTAACTCATACTATATCACAAACTCTGTACTGACTTCATATTTGTATTGAAACACAGTCATTAGAAGCAAACAAAAAAACTAACTCAAATTTACATTTCTGCTGATTTTTATTTTTAAAAATTGCCAGTTATTTGAGAACCCTTCCACACAGCCATATAAACCAGAATATCAAGGCTTTGAACTAAGGCTTTGAACTAAGGCTCCTTGCACACTGCTGTATAAAATCCACATTGAACTGATTTATATAGTAGTGTGGACTCCGATAACCCAGTTCAAAGCAGATATTGTGGATTATATGCCTTTATATCATCCAGTTCAATGGCCGGGCTGAGGGACCTTCCACACAGCCATATAACCCAGAATATCAAGGCAGAATAACCCACAATATCATCATCATCATCATTTAATTACTTATTAATCGCCCTCCATCCAAGATGCTCTAGCTAAATTGTAAAGGATAAAAATACATACATACAGATATTGATAAAATCAACATAGGTCAAAAGCTCTATCTGCTTTGAACTGGAATATATGGCAGTGTTGACTCAGTTCAAAGCAGATATTGTAGGATTTCCCGCCTTGATATCCAGGGTTATATGGCTGCGTGGAAGGGCCATATAACAGCTGTATAATATCCATATTGAACTGGATTATATGGCAGTGTGGACTCAGATAACCCAGTTCAAAGCAGATACTGTGGATTGTCTGCCTTGATATTCTGGGTTGTACAGCTGTGTGGAAAGGCCCTGAGTCCACATTGCCATATAATCCAGTTCAATGTGGATTTTATACAGCTGTGTGGAAGGCATTCGAGAATCTAATGTATTGTATAAAAAGTGCCCTGAAGGAGATATATATATATATATATATATATATATATATATATATATGTTTCCACAAATCACCCCATCACTTTTTCACCCATGTCCAGCATTAGTTTTACATTTTAATTACATTTGGCCTACCCATAGATTTTGAAGTGTGTTATCCTATTGTTAATGCTTATGTTATTGTTTTATTGTCTTGTTTGTTTTTAAATTGCTTGTATTGTTGTTGTTATTGGTTGTATTGTTGTATTCTGGGCTCGGTCTCATGTAAGCCGCACCGAGTCCCTGGGGAGATGGTAGCGGGGTATAAATAAAGTGTTATTATTATTATTATTATTATTATATACACACACACTCAATACACACATATATACACATACATATATACACACCAATGAATATATACATATTATCTATCTAACCTGGATCAGAGAACATTATCTAACCTGTATGTAAGACTGCCTAGATCTGAAATCACCAGGAAATATGAGAGATCTATATATATATATATATGTATAAACATCAATAATATATATTTATATTATTTACAACCATCAATGAAAATATATAAAGTATAATATAATTATATTATTATTAGAAAGTATATAATAATCCTCAATAAGGCATATAATAAACATCAATGAATATATATAGAAATTATAATAATAATACATAGAATTATACACATATATTATTATAAAGTATATTGTGTTAATTATATTACATATAAACCCCAATGAATATATTTATATATTAATTATAATATATTTATGACGTTCTATTACATATAATCTTGAATGAATGTCATGAGACTGGGGTCCCATCTCTAAGAGATGTCCTTATGTCCATGCAATTATTCCAAAACCATAATAATACAAACTAATGGAAAGAGGGGCTATTTCACTTGGGACCAGAGAGATCCCTCCAAGCTGTCTACGGAGCCTCTCTCTGTTCAAAACAGGAAGGGAAAGGCAGGCAGAGCTGGGGGCAGCCATATGCAGCAGGCTCCCTCCTTGCTGGGCCTCCCCAGCCCCATGGAAGGCCCCTTCCCTCCCTCCCCAGGCCCCTTCTAGCCCTTCCCCTCCCTCCCCTCCCCGCCCAGGACTCACAACTCTTTGATCAGCACCATCCTCCCGTTCCTCCAGCGCCCCGCACGCCAAGAACACCAACCCTTCCTTTCCTCCCCTGCTCTCCCCCTCCAGCCCGGCCATTGACGCCACTTCCGCCCTCACGCCAGCGCCCGCTCGCTTGAGCCTCCCCTCCGCGACGCCACTTCCGCCCTCACTCGGGCTTCTCCTTCCCCTCCGACGTTGAGCGAAGGCCGTCGGGCGATCTTTGATTGACAGCGCCACCCAGGCAGCGCAAGGGCGCCCAGAGGCAAAGGGCCGCTAGGTGGCGCGCTCATCCAACGGCCTCCTTCGCCCTGGGCGCGTAGCTGACACGCGCCATCTAGTGGTGGGAAATATATTTGGAAATTCAGCGCCTTATAAGGCCCCATCTACACCACCATAGAATACTAATACTAATCCAACAACCACGATGTCAGACTACACAGAAAAGCCATTGAAATCCACAAGCATGTGGACAATTTCAACAGAAAGGAGGAGACCATGAAAATGAACAAAATCTGGCTACCAGTATTAAAAAACTCTAAAATTACTACAGCAAAACAGCAGAGAGGAAACAACCAGGCACATCTTAACACCTCTCAACAGAACATTTTCCCAGGCTCTGCCAGGCCTTCAAATGCTAATGAAGGTGGTCAGCTGAAACATTCACACCTAGCTTCAGCAGAGAGCTCTTTGCCCCACCCCAGTCATTCCACAGATATATAAACCCATTTTCCTATTTCCAACAGACCTCACTACCTCTGAGGATGCTTGCCATAGATGCAGGCGAAACGTCAGGAGAAATGCCTCTAGAACATGGCCCTAAAGCCCGAAAAAACCATTCCCAAGATTCCATATTGTGCAGGTACAACTGCACCAGGAGCTCCAATTTTGTTTGCTTTGCATTGAATGTTTGTTGCAGTCCTAAGTTTCAGGGACTCTGCAGATAGGTGGCTTCTTTTGGCTGCAATCATAGGGCAAGCCACCTGTCAATTATAGTTAGGTTCCCTGATCCCGCCCCCTTTTGTGAGTGAAAATACATCCTGCATATCAGATATTGACATTACAATTCATAACAGTAGCAAAATTACAGTTATTTATTTCGAATATTTGTACCCCACCCTTCTCAATCCCCTGAGGGGGACTCAGGGCGGCTGTAATAATAATAATAATAATAATAATAATAATAATAATAATAATAATAATATTTTATTTATACCCCGCTACCATCTCCCCAAGGGACTCGGTGTGCCTTATATGAGGCCGAGCCCACAATACATCAATAATAAGAACAATAACAAGTAATACAAAACAATAAAAATAAAACTCATAATGGAAAATAAGCAATAAACATTAACAGTAACTATGAAGTAGCAACGAAAATAATTTTATGGTTGGGGGTCACCACAACATGAGGAACTGTGTTAAGGGGTCATGGCATTAGGAAGATTAAGAACCACTGCAATAAACTATCCATCATATTGACATTGTATTAGGAATAGGGTTCAGCACCATGGGCAGCTCTTTTAAAATTCAGACTAAAACACGGAGCAGATTCATCACCCTCTGACATCAGTAACAAGTGGCTGCTGCCAAGCTCTGTTGAATTCTCACTTGAACTTGCAAAAGTACACTCTGTATACTCAGAAAAACTCTTGTTGTTTTGTTACAATCCCTAATGCTGTTTCACAACTTCCCAATGTCGAGCCAAGACTGGGCTTGGCTGCTGGCAAGCTGTTTCATCTCCTTTTTTGGAAGTCTTCCAGTTCCGTTAGGCAAGAAAAATTTGTAATAGTTTAGTGACGAACAAATCAGCAGGTTCTGGAGGAGCATTTCTTGGGGAAAGAACTAAAATGATTCCGGTGAAGAAAAAATTGCAATCTCCTTAAGGTGACATTTTGATATTGCGACGCGTGACAGATAAGACTGCAAATGTGGGAGCATTTCTTCAGCTTGGCTTTTATTTTCCTTCTCTTCATTTCAATTGGCAGATAAACTGTTGGCTGGGCAAAGAACGGAACCAAAGGCGTGTCCTGATATTGAACTTTCCTACATGAAGCAATTCAGATTAATGCTGTCCTCCAGCTTACATAAGGGACAGAGGAAACGGGCCAAAAGGATATATGAAGCAACAGAAAAAAGAACGAAGGAAACGGTAGCTCCCGAAAAATAATCTCAGGCGTGACTTCAGGACTTTGAGAAAGATCCCAACCAAAACCTTCTGAGCTCAGCTTTGAAGGGACACCATGGCTAGCCAAACCCAGGACTACACAGAAGCCCTATACAACCATAAGGAGGTCTTCTATAGGTACCCCTTGAGGCTGGTCCATGGAATCCCCCTGATGGAACCCATCGCTCAACAGTGGGATCCTATTGAAAACTTCCAGGCACGGCCGGATGATCTCCTCATCTCTACTTATCCCAAAGCAGGTGAGATACGAGGAGAATGGGAAATTTAGAGGTTTATGTATTTTGTGTCAAAAGCATTGCATAAATAAGTATAAAATTGGTAAAAATAGAGGAAACACAAGCAGTTAAATATTTTTGACCATAAATGGGTAACAGCGACCACATTGTGTGTAGCTTTAAACAATTCTTCCTCTGTGCATAAGGCAGGGCATAGTGGACAAGCATACAGATGTAGAGTTATTTGTCGCACAAGGTGGAGAATTATTCTAGGCAGTGACATTTTGCCAGGTTGGTTTATTATCTGCCCACTCCCCTTCTGAATCTGTTCAGGGACTTCCAAGTTGCCCATTCTTGGTTTGTCCCTGGAGGAAGACCCTCATGGGGGGGGAGCATTCATTTGGGATTTCCTGGTTTAGCTGCCCTGTCGGTCTCCAGATGTTTTGGCCTACAACTCTCAGAAATCCCAGCCAGTTCACCAGCTGTTAGGATTTCTGGAAGTTGAAGGCCAAACATCTGGAGATCTACAGGTTGAGATTCACTGCCCAGAGCAGTTGTTCTCAACCTTTCTAATGCCGCGACCCCTTAATACAATTCCTCATGTTGTGATGACTCCCAACCATAAAAATTTTTTTGTTGCTACTTCTAACTGAAATTTTGTTACTGTTATGAATCGACATGTAAATATCTGATATGCAGGATATATTTTAATTCAGTGGACCAAATTTGGCACAAATGCCTGATACGCTCAAATTTGAATACTGATGGAGATTGATTTTATCATTTGGGAATTATAGTTGCTGGGATTTATAGTTCACCTACAAAGAGCATTCTGAACTCCATCAATGAGGGATTTGATCCAAACTTGGCACACAGATCTCCAATACCCACACAAAATACTGGAAGGATTTGGTAGGTATTGACCTTAGGTTTTGGAGTTGTAGTTCACCTACATCCAGAGAGCACTGTGGACTCAAACAATGATAGATCTGTACCAAACTTGGCTCAAATATTCAATATGTCCTAATATGAACACTGGCGCAGTTTGGGGAAAGTAGACTTAACATTTGGGAGTTGTAGTTTCTGGGATTTATAGTTCACCTACAATCAAAGAGCATTCTTAACCCTGTCAACGATAGAATTGGGCCAGACTTCCTACACAGAACCCCCATGAGTGTGTTTTCTGATTATCTTTGGTGACCCCTCTGACACCCCCTCGTGACCCCCCCAGGGGTCCCGACCCCCAGGTTGAGAAACACTGGCCCAGAGGGATATTCTTGCTGTTGCTGGGAAAACGTTTGGAGGAGTGGTGGATCTCATTAAGCTTTTCCTTGATTTGAGTCTACTGGGAGGAGGCTGATAGCCATGAGTAGGTGGCTTTCACAATGTTCAACCTTATTTCTCTTACAGTTAGTAGAAACTTCCCATCCGGGGAGGGGGGGGGGCAATGCCAGGTAGCTTGTAGTGTTTATTAACAGATAAAGGTTTAAGACATCCCGTGATTATTCTGCATGTTTCGTTCAGTGCTATGTTAAAAGGGTCATGAATGGAAAAAGTTTAAGAAGCCCTAAATTAGATGAACCTTTGTGATCCCTCCCAACTATAGGAATCAATGAAAACACAGAAGGTAGAGAACAGGCATGGACAAACTTTGGCCCTCTAGGTTTTTTGAACTCCAACTCCCACAATTCCCAACAGCCTTAGGCCTTTTTGTTTGCCCCCTCAGCCACTTAAGCATTTGAAGAGGGAAAGGAAGAGACCTGAGGCTGTTAGGAATTGTAGGAGTTGAACTCCAAAACATCCGGAGGGCTAAAGTTTGCCCATGCGTGGTATAGAAGCAACTTTAAGTTTTCTTTAGATTTCTGAAGGCTACTTCGTCTCCTTTTTTAAGGGAGGCCTTGCTGTCGGATTGCTCACTTGTTTTGTAAAGAGGCAGCCATGTTAGTGTTTCAAGATTTAAAAAAGGAAGCAAAAATAGTATATACTCATGTATAAGACTGGAAATTTTGATCAAAAGAACAACCCAAAAATCTAGGTGAACTGGCCCTCTGCTTAAAGGTTTGAGAATCCCTGGCCTAGATGGATAGGAGAGCTGCTCCTCCAAGTTAGAACTGGTGCTTTCTCCTCTCCAGGGAATGACCCTCAACTTAGCCATGGGTCACATCATAATCTTGACCCCAAACCCTGCCCTTGACTTATGCATAAGGTTGGCATTTACATGAGAAAATATAGTAATTTTTGTAGGATCTTTGGAGCTAACCAGTGTATCTCAGCATAAATCTACACTTTTGTTGCAAGTACCCAGTAGGAAGCATGTGATTCACAAAAGACTTATGCCAAAATAAATTCGTTAGACTGAAAGATACCACAAGACTGCTTTTCCCAAGGCACGGTTTATAGTTCTTTTCAAGAACATTTCTGGAACAGTACAAAATGTACCATGTGTTGAATGTAATGAGAACCCACAACTGGGCAATAGTAGACCTTTATTAAGAACTAACATAATGTCACAAATCCTCCAGAGCTCATCCTTAAGGTGATTTTGCTGTTTTAGGTCCTTTCTACACAGCTATATAAAATCCACATTGAACTGGATTATATGGCAGTGTGGACTCAGATAACCAGTTGAAATATCCGCCTTGCTATTCTGGGTTATAGGACTGTGTGGAAGGACCCTTAGGATTGTGTTTCTGCTGGCATTGAGTAACTATGCTTGCATAAGATCAGGGCGTCATAAATATTACACTATGTAACACAATTTGAAAAAAACATGTTCCTGATTGGAACTTGTTATTTCCTCTTTAATTGGGCAGTACCTCCTTTGAAAGTACTGTAGTTGCGATACTCCAGAAACTTCCCCACTAACTTGTGGGTCACCAGTTGGCTCAGAGGGCCTGCCCAGACAGGGCCTTTATTGTGGGAACTCCCGCTATAAGGAAAGGGCTGTCCAGACAATGTTCTCTACAGTCCCACATTAATTCACTACAAACCAGGAAAACCCTGGTTTGTAGTGAATTAATTAGATAGTGCATTAATTCCGCACCTTCTTGGAAGGTGTGGGATAAACGCACTATTTCTGGGTCTGGGCTACAGAATACTGCAGTTCAGACAGTATTCCCTCAGTTTACCTTGGGAAGACTTGGCCACAGTGGTCCACGCTCTGGTTATATCCTGTATAGACTACTGCAACGCGCTCTATGTGGGGTTGCCTTTGAAGACTATTCAGAAGCTTCAAATGGTCCAACAGGCAGCAGCCAGGTTACTAACGGGGGCAGCGCTCAGGGAACACACTACTCCTCTGTAGCATCAGCTCCACGGGCTGCCAATTTGCTACCGGGCACAATTCAAAGTGCTGGCTTTAGCCTATAAAGCCCTAATCAGTTCCAGCCCAGCTTACCTGTCCGAATGTATCTCTCCTTATGAACCATCTAGTTGCTTAAGATTGTCTGTGGAGGCCCTGCTCTCGATCCCACCTTCATTGCAAGCGAGATTGGCGGGGACAAGGGACAGGGCCTTCTCAGTGGTGCCCCCCTGGCTATGGGATGATCTAATATCCCCAGAGATATCCCACGTTCTCCTGGCGTGTAGAGCTCTCCTGACATGCTAAATTAACTAATTTATGAGACCATAAAAAAAGACTCCAGCAAAGCACTCCAGCAAAAGCATGCAGGGAATGCGGAAGTACTTCATCAGTGTCGCAGATGGACGATGAAAGCGACAGCTCCCCTGGCGGCCAGAAAAAGTTAAATAGCCTCTGTGTATGTCTGTATACGTTGTATGTCAAATTGGCATTGAATGTTTGCCATATATGTGTACATTGTAATCCGCCCTGAGTCCCCTGCGGGGTGAGAAGGGCGGAATATAAATACTGTAAATAAATAATAATAAATAGATCATCCCCCTCCCTCCTGACTTTCTGAAAAAAGGTAAAAACTTGGCTCTTTGAGAAAGCTTTCGAGAATGCAGAAGAATAGATAACATGAAACTGTGAATGATGAACATGGAATGGCCAGATGATGTTACTGGAAAACGATTTTAACAAGATGACATCAGTGACTAAATATTTTAATGGTTTTTATATACGTTTTTATATTGTTATGTTGATTGTTTTCAATCTCACTTTTATGAATGCATGGCATTGAATCGCTACAATCTGTAACCCGCCTTGAGTCGCTGTCTGGTTGAGAAAGGCATGTTATAAATGTTGTAAATAAATAAACAAATAAATTACCAGGCTAAATAAGCCCGGTACACTGTGGGAATATCTATCCCCTCCCTCCAAGCCCCCAGAACCCTTAGAAAACTAAGAAAAACTTAAGTGCCCTCCATTAGAAGCCCCGGCGAGCTCTCCCAGCGCGTAGAAATGATGAGCCAGRAGAGGGGGACGGGRAGGAGGGAGGAAAATCCCCCCYCCCATCCCTGCTCTCCGGGCACATAATTTCTACCCACCGGGAGAGCTTGCCGGGGTTTCTAATGGAGGGCACTTAAGTTTTCTTAGTTTTCTAAGGGGTCTGGGGGCTTGGGGGTAGGGCCTCCAAACATTCTCTCAAACTAGTCCCAAGAGAATATGTGGACAACCCACCCCAGAAAGTGCACATTTTCTGGGGTGGGTTAAAAAAAACCTCAGGTGTTTCTGGGAGAAGAGCCTGTCTGGATCCGGCCTGTTTGAATCAAATCAAGTATGAGTCTGCCTCCACTTACCTGCAAAAAATCTAGAAATAGTATGAGGCCAATTGCTTATTTTGGATTTGTCGCAGGTATTCAAAGCTTTTATTCCTGAACTACTTTATATTTTATATATTACAATATAATTGTATAGTACAATATGGTAATATGTAATTCTGATATTGTACTATGCTGATAATATAATGTATTGTATGTATATATAACTTGTAAGCCGCTCTGAGTTCCCTTCAGGGTGAAAAGGGCGGCATATAAATGTCATAAATTTAAAAAATAAAATTTAAAAACTAACCTAGCCACCTTCACAACAACTAGTAATAGCTTTTGATTGCAGTTGGGAGAACAAACATGGTCAGATACTGTCCTAAGTTTGCTATGATTAAAGGCTTACTTGTCGCCTTCCTCTGGACTTTCAGGTACCACATGGATGCAAGAAATTGTCGACTTGGTCCTTGCCAGGGGTGATGTGGAAAAAGCCCGTCGAGCCCCCACATATATCCGGATCCCATTCCTAGAGATCTGCTCCCCGCCCCCTGTGCCTTCAGGTGAGCCTAGAAATCCCAAGGGCAAGTAACTCAAGGGAGACCCAGCCCAACCTTTTCACCCAGGACTTGAGAAAGAAAGGATATATTTTTGGACAAAACCTTCCAGAATTGGGGAACTCTAGTCCGAAACAAACTAAGCTTCTCCAGATCTGTTCTAATTCCACAAGTGCTGGACTAACTCTCCTCTAGTTCTTCTTTAGGGATTAGTTACCTGGTGGATGCTCCATCTCCTCGTGTGATCAAAACCCACCTCCCCTTTCAACTTGTTCCTAAAAGTTTTTGGGAAAACAACTGCAAAGTAAGTGGTTACCCTATTATTTTCCACAGTTCCCCCTCCATGTTTGTCTTCAGTTTTGATCTATTGGTTTATATGTGATTTACCTTCTGTTGTTCCCTTCCAGGTGATTTACGTGGCTCGTAATGCCAAGGACAACGTGGTCTCTTATTTCTTCTTTGACCAGATGAATGTGACACAGCCGGAACCGGGGCCATGGGAAGGCTACATTAAGAAATTCATGGAAGGCGAAGGTTAGGTCACTTTGGCAGGCCAATTCAGTTACATATAGAGCAGAGCTGGGGAAAGTCACTTCTTAAGACTACAATTGATATCTCACACTCCAAAGCACGATTTCCTGTCCATTAAAAAAAACAAAACAAAAAAACAACAGAGCAAAAAGTGCCTATTTTACCTGAGGGTTGATTTTGATTATTTCATTTATTTCATTTGTTTATTTATTTATTTGCTATATCTGCGCCCGTACCTTGGGAAGTCTGACTTGGCCACGGTAGTCCATGCTCTGGTTACATCCCGTTTAGACTACTGCAACGCTCTCTATGTGGGGTTGCCTTTGAAGACAGCTCGGAAGCTCCAACTAGTCCAACGCTCGGCAGCCATGATTTTAACAGGAGCGGAGCGCAGGGAGCAAACAACCCCCCTGTTGCGCCAACTCCACTGGCTACCGATCTGCTACCGGGCTGAATTCAAAGTGCTGGCGTTGGCCTTTAAAGCCCTAAACGGTTCCGGCCCAAGCTACCTATTTGACCGCATCTCTGCCTATGAACCCACCAGGACTTTGAGATCTTCCGGGGAGACCCTGCTCTCGATCCCGCCTGCTTCTCAAGCTCGGCTGGCGGGGACGAGAGATAGGGCCTTCTCGGTGGTGGCTCCTCGGCTGTGGAACGCCCTTCCTACGGACATTAGACTAGCACCATCTCTAATGGTATTCCGCAAAAAGGTGAAGACCTGGATGTTTGTGCAGGCGTTTGAGTAATTTAGTGCAATCTGGGAATGGAACATAGGAATGGAACAATGGACGACGAACCTGGACTACGCTTGGATGATGAGAAGATTGGGTACGGTTGTTTTTTGTAATAATTGTGCATTGTAATTGCTTATTGGTAATTTATGGATAATGTGTTAAGTCAATTGTTATATGTTGTATGGAACCACTGCTGTTTCTACTGTTTTTACTGTTTGTGAACCGCTGTGAGTCGCCTTCGGGCTTGAGATACAGCGGTATATAAGCAAAGTAAATAAATAAATAAATAAATAAATTTATACTTTCTCACCTCGAAGGGGACACAGAGCGGCTTACAGATCATGGCAAAAATTTAATGGAGCACTATACATACCATAATAAAATACAACAATTTATAAATTTTCAACAATTAAAATATATAAGTACAATAAAACAGATTAAAACATACGGAGTGCCGAATCTTGATTTTCCTTACTCCTTGATTTTCCCTTATTTATTTATTTATTCATTTATTTATTTATTATATTCACATACCACCTTTCTCACCCCTGCAAAAAAAAAAAAAAAAAAAGGGGGGGGGGGCTCAAGGCAGTTTACAATATATTAATGGCAAAAATTCAATGTCAAAATACATATAAAAAAAGCAAAATAACTGAACACTAACATATAACACACACACACACACTAGCAGTCCCCTGCCACGCGTTGTTGTGGCCCAGTCTGTGTATATGTGTTTTGTGTGTGTATATGTGTGTATATATATTTGTATGTATATATATATATATATATATATATATATATATATGTATGTATGTATGTATATATGTATATATGTGTGTTTGCGTTTATATATGTGGTTTTGCACATGTGTTGTAATTTCTTTTTTTCTTTTTTGGCTTTTTAAATCTCTTTTGCTGTGTTTGTCTGTGTTTTTATGAGTGATGGTCACTCGTTAGCCTGATATGTGTATTGTGTCCAAATTTGGTGTCAATTCGTCGAGTGGTTTTTGGATTATGTTAATCCCACAAGCAAACATGACATACACACACACACACACACACACACACACACACACACACAGTAGAGTCTTGCTTATCCAACATAAATGGGCTGGCAGAATGCTAGATAAGTGAAAATGTTGGATAAGAAGGAGGGATTAAGGAAAAGCCTATTAAACGTCAAATTACATTATGATTTTACAAATTGTCATTGCACATATTTCCATAGTAATTATTTAGGCTGCTACATTGAGGTTGAATTCCACATTGCAATAGCCCCTGAATGGCTGTGTGCAGAACCAAGTCTTTAACTTTTTCTTGGAGACCAGGAGGGATGGGTCTAGTCTGATGTCACTGGGGAGGGAGTTTCACAACTGAGGGGCCACTACTGAGAAGGCCCTGTCTCTTGTCCCAACCAGTCACACTTGCGAGGGGGGTGGGACCGAGAGCAGGTCCTCCCCAGCAGCTCTAATAGGCTCATAAAGGGAGATATGTTTGGGAAAGTAAGTTGGAGCAGAACCATTGTATCTCATTCTATACTGTGATATTTCAAATAGGACTGCCCCATTTTGTTAATTGAGTTGTTTAATTACTTTATTCACCACTCAGTTGCCTGGGGCTCATGGTATGATCATGTCCGACGATACTGGGATGAGAAAGAAAAACATAAAATCCTGTATGTCTTCTATGAAGATATGAAAGAGGTGAGTTGTTCAGGGGAAGAGAGGGGTCATCAAATGCCTTGGGGCTGTAGTGCTTTGGGTATGTCCAAAAACATGTCCAGTGTCCCTTTCCGCATGCCCAGAGGACTTTCCATAAGCACTTGGTTAGCCAAAGGATTCTTCTTAAAACTTTAAAATCAGGACAGTAAATAAAGAACAATACTAAAAAAAGAAAGGGGGGGGGAATCCAGACAGGAAACAATCAGGGCCAACTAAAACCTCCCAACAGAGGATTCCCCCTGGCAGTAAGAAGCCAGACTTTGAAGCTGCAAGTCTATTCAATGCTAATCAAGATGGTCAATTACAACATTCACACCTGCCTCAAGCAGACAAGAGTTCTTTCTCCCAGCCTAGACATTATACAGATATATAAATCCAATTTGTCCTAGTTTCCAACAGACCTCACAACCTCCGAGGATGCCTGCCATAGATTCAGGTGAAACATAACGAGAAAATGATCCTGGAACATGGCCATACAGCTCGGAAACTCACAGCAACCCAATAATAATAATACCCTTTTAATTCCTTTTTTCCCAAATTCTTTATTTAATATTTCCTTTAATTCTTTTGGGAAATTCTTTTCCATTATTGATCTTAACACAGAATATTTGCTAATTAATTGCCCCTGGTGGTGCAGTGGGTTAAACCGCTGAGCTGCTGAACTTGCTGACCAAAAGCTTGCTGGTTCGAATCCAAGGACTGGGGCAAGCTCCCGCTGTTAGCTCTGGTTTCTGCAAAACTAGCAGTACAAAAACATGAAAATGTGAGTAGATCAATAGGTACTGCTCCGGGGGAAGGTAACAGTGCTCCATGCAGTCATGCCGGCCACATGACCTTGGAGGTGTCTACGGACAATGCTGGCTCTTCGGCTTAGAAATGGAAATGAGCACCATCCCCCAGAGTTGGACACGGCTGGACTTAGGGCCCTTCCACACAACCCTGTATTCAGAATATAAAGGCAGAAAATCCCACATTATCTGAGTGTGGATTCAGATAACCCAGTCAAAGTAGATATTGTGGGATTTTCCACCTTGATATTCTGAGATATAGGGTTGTGTGGAAGGGCCCTTAATGTGAGGGGAAAACTTTTACCTTTACTAATTGTCCTTTATATTTGTTCCATATTTCCATTATGACCATTTCCACACAGCTGAATAAAATCCCACATTATCTGCTTTGAACTGGAATATATGGCACTGTGGACTCAGATAACCCAGTTCAAAGCAGATATTGTGGGATTTTCTGCCTTGATATTCTGGGATATACGGCCGTATAAAAGGGTCCTGAATTTCTTAATACTGTATTTCCAATCTGTTTAGACTCTTTCTTTAGACTTTCCTTTAAAAATGTATTGTCCTTTCTCACTCGTTTCATTTTGCTATAGTTTTTCAATGAATGTGTCACAGAGTCGCAACCAACTGAATATAATTTGTGGAAACCACAAAAATGAGTATAACAAAGTACATAACACACAACTTAAACAGGCAATAAGGCTTTCAAATCAGGAACAGATTTTTTTTCAAATTTAGTTTTATAGTGTAATCTATAGCTGGGAACCAAAACAAAGAAGGCAGAGCAAAGAGAAGGATAATATGGGAAGAATACAAGCGTGGTCCTGGCTATCTATCTATCTATCTATCTATCTATCTATCTATCTATCTATCTATCTATCTATCTATCTACACACACACATCATGCTTATTATGTTCTGTCCTTTTTCTTATTAACAGTCCTCTGTATGTTTTTATCAGGACTTGGCCCAGGAGGTTCGCCGCGTGATGAAATTCCTTGAAGTCGACCTGTCTGAAGAAATTGTTCAAAAGATTGTCCATCACACTTCATTCCAAGTCATGAAGGACAATCCAATGGCAAATTACAGCTCTGTCCCTGACTGTATCTTTGACAAGGCAAAAGGCAAATTTATGAGGAAAGGTGAGTGTTATTATTCTCAAAACATGATTTCCAACAGTGGAAATTCATCCATTTACACCAACAGTGGGTAGAGGGAGAAAAACAGTGCATCTATACTGGCTCCATGCTATAGTATCCTGGGATTTGTAGTTTAGTGCAGCACCAGCAGTCCTTATTTATTTATTTATTTATTTGCTGTGTTCATTCTTCTTCTTTCATAATTATTTGTTCCACTGCATTTCCCAAACGCTTGTTCAAAGAGCCCAGTTTTTACTCTCTTTCTGAAGGTCAGGAGGGAGAAGGCCGATCTAATATCCCTAGAGAGGGAGTTCCACAGCCGAGGGGCCACCACCGAGAAGCCCCCGTCTCTCTGTCTCTGTCTCATTGACGGAGAAGGCTAAAAATCTTCTCAAACTAAAACTCTTATGATTCTAAAGCATTGAGCGATGGCAGTGAAAGTGGTGTCAAATTGCATTAATTATACAGTGTAGATATAACAACAGTCTTAACAACTGGTGAGGTATTTATTTATTTATTTATTTCTATCATTTCTACCCCATCCTTCTCAACTCCCGAAGAGGGACTCAGGACGGCTTACACTTGGCAACAATTTGATGCCGTTACATATAACAATACAATAAAACAACAATTAAAACAATAAATAAAGCATGAATTAAAATCATAAAAACAGTAATGTCAGCCGTATCACCATTTCAGTCAAATTCCACATCCGAAGTGCTATTTATGCCTGCTGTCCAAAAACCTGGTCCCAGAACCCCGATTTTAATTTCTTCCTAAAAGACAGGAGGAATGAGGCTGATCTTGTTGGGAAGCGAGTTCCACAGGCAGGGGGCCACAGACGAGAAGGCCCTGTCTCTCATCCCCGCCAGATGCATTTGCAACATTGGCGGGAGCGAAAGTAGGGCCTCCCCGGATGATCTTAAATGTTGAGGCAGGACTTAGAGGGAGATGCGTTCAGACAAGTAAGCTGGGCCAGAACCATATAGAGCAGTGGTTCTCAACCTGGGGTCTCCAGATGTTTTTGGCCTTCAACTCCCAGAAATCCTAACAGCTGGTAAACTGACCCCAGGTTGAGAACCACTGATATAGAGCTTTATAGGTCAAGACCAGAACTTTGAATTGAGTTTGGAAATGGACCGGCAGCCAGTGGAGCTGACACAACAAGGGGGTGGTATGCTCCCTGTATGTTGCTCCAGTTAGTTATCTGGCTGCCGCCCGTTGGACTAGTTGGAGTTTCCAAACAGTCTTCAGAGGGAGCCCCACGTAGCGTGCGGTGAAGTAATCTATTTGGGATGTAACAAGAGAGTGGACCATTGTAACCAGATCAGACATATGTTTCTCAGCTTCAAAATAAAGGATGTCTTTGGTTAGAGAACTAAACCTTTGTTACTCCTTCAGATTTAAAAGCGTATATTTGTATAAAATATAGAACAAAGCCATGCTGTGTTTTCATCTAAAGTGGAAGTGTTTTCCACTGGAATTTTACAGCCTCTCACCATATGCAGTAGAGTTTCGCTTAGCCGACATAAACGGGATGGCAGAACATCAGATAAACAAAAATGTCGGTTAATACGGAGTCTCCTACTGTTACGCATCCAACGTGGCGCTAGACACCTAGAATTCTAACAACAGGGACTCAAAGAGTTAAGGCAAGGCAACACCTCGGGGCTAGAGCGACCCAGCAGAAAATGCCCAGATGCGGAAGAGGAGCGTGGAAATCACAGAGGGAAGGAGGGAGGATGCTTCCGCTTCCGGTCCTGCCTCTTTCCCCCCTTTCCTCCTCCCTCCTCCTCCTCGTCTTTTCACTTATTGAGAATAGAGAGAGAGTTAGGGAGTGCTCCTTTAACTGAAAGGGAAATGCTGGAGCAAAAGGGGGGCGTTGAATAAGAGCATTGGATAAGGTGGAATGTCGGATAAGCGAAGGTTGGATAAGCGAGACTCTACTGTAATCTTTTTCTCCTTCCTCTTCTGCGTAAGGTGAAGTTGGAGACTGGAAGAATTATTTCACAGTGGCTCAAAGGGAGGCATTTGATGCAGATTACCAGCTCAAGATGAAAGGCACAACTTTACATTTCCGGGATGAATTAAGCAGCGGTCTCCGGCCATGAAGTCAGCTTTCACTTACGCAACCCCATGAATGAGAGACCTACAACAGAGCCTATTATTAACAGCCTTGCTCAGATCTTTAAACTCAGATCTCTGCCTTCCTTTATAGAGTCAATCCATTTCTAATAGCCTGCGGGTAACTGAGTTGTAAATAATACTACAGCAATAAACATTACTATGACCTCCATCAAACATAAGGCATTTAACCAAAGAACAGGAAATGTTGTTTGGCACAAAGACCCATACTACAGATCATGAAATATATCTGGCTTCAAGGAATAAATGGTTTGTCATTATTTACAAACAGTGATAAATATCAGGGCTGATAATTCATTACAGGGCTGGAAAACTGTAAAGGAAGGACCATAATTTATTTCTAAAGTCCACAAAGGATATGTTTTTTGGATTATTATCCAGCTTTTCAGATAGTTGTTGTTTTCAGTGAGATCCACAGCAAAGAGAGCGAGAGAGAGACTATTCCATAAAGATTTATGAGCTGGAAAAAAAACAAACAAACCTCAAAACTTCAAGGACGGGAATGGTAGAAAAAGGGGGAAGAGGTAGACTATTCCTTCAAGACGGAACCAAAAGTCAGGTCCCAAAGACTCAGCTAGGTATAAGGATTTTGTAAAACAACACTGAACATGTCAAATGTTGATGGCTGTTTGATATAGACCATTGGTTCTCAACCTTCCTAATGCCACGACTCCTTCATACAGTTCCTCATGTTGTGGTGACCCAAAACCATAACATTATTTTCATTGCTACTTCATAACTGTAACTTTGCTACTCTTATGAATCATAATTGAAACATCTGATATGCAGGATGTATTTTCATTCACTGGACCAAAATTGGCACAAATATCAGATATGCCCAAATTTGAATACTGGTAGAGTTGGAGGGATTGATTTTGTCATTTGGGAGTTGTAGTTGTTGGAATGTATAGTTAACCTACAATCAAAGAGCAGTCTGAACTCCACCAATGATGGAATTGAACTAAACTTGGCACACAGAACTCCCATGACCAACAAAAAATACTGAAAGGGTTTGGTGGGCATTGACCTTGAGTTTTGGAGTTGTAGTTAGTTCACCTATATCCAGAGAGCACTGTGGACTCAAACAATATGCCCAAATTTGAACACTGGTGGAGTTTGGGGAAAATAGAGCTTGACATTTGGGAGTTGTAGTTTCTGGGATTTATAGTTTACCTACAATCAAAGAGCATTCTGAACCCCACCAATGATAGAATTGGGCCAAACTTTCCACACAGAATCCCCATGACCAACAGAAAATACTGTGTTTTCTGATGGTCTTTGGCAATTCCTCTGACACCTCCTCGCTAATATAGGTGATATCAACACGGCATTCACCCAATTTCTTTCTGACGAAAAATTTCCAATTCTTGTGGGTCGTCTCCAGGTAGGAGATGAAGGTAAAACTTCACCACACTTTTGAACATAGTTTAAAGGTCTACAGTAGGCATTTCTTTCACACATAAGCAACAAAAACCAAACAGCGCAATAGAACCCACAGGGAAGAAATGACTTCTATCAAATTGTTCAGTTGATGGCTTATTCTGCATAAAGCCCAATGCATTTAAATGGCCGTCTAGTAAAGGTAAAGGTTCCCGATTGACATTAAGTCTAGTCGAGTCCAACTCTGGGGAGTGGGCACATCTCCATTTCTAAGCCAAATAGCCGGCATTGTCCATTGACACCTCCAAAGTCATGTGGCTGGTATAACTGCATGGAGCATGAGGAGCTGGAGCTGATAGAGAGAGCTCATCCGCCTCTCCCCGGATTCGAACCTGCGACCTGTCGGTCTTCAGTCCTGCCAGCACAGGGGTTTAACCCACTGCGCCAACGGGGGCTCCTTAACTCCACCAATGATGGAATTGAACCAGCCTTGGCACACACGACCTACAGATAATACTGGAAGGGTTTGGTGGGTGTTGACCTTGAGTTTGGGAGTTATAGCTCACCAACCACCAGAGATCACTGTGGGCTCAAACAATCATGGATCTGGACCAAATATTGGCACAAGTACTCAATATGCCCAAATGTGAACAGTGGTGGAATTTGGGGGAAATAGACCTTGACATTTGGGAGTTGTAGTTGCTGGGATTTATAGTTCACCTACAATCAAAGAGCATTCTGAACCCCACCAATGATAGAATTGGGCCAAACTTTCCACACAGAATCCCCATGACCAACAGAAAATACTGTGTTTTCTGATGGTCTTTGGCAATTCCTCTGACACCTCCTCGCTAATATAGGTGATATCAGCACGGCATTCACCCAATTTCTTTCTGACGAAAAGTTTCCAATTCTTGTGGGTTGTCTCCAAGTAGGAGATGAAGGTAAAACTTCACCACACTTTTGAACATAGTTTAAAGGTCTACAGTAGGCATTTCTTTCACACATAAGCAACAAAAACCAAACAGCGCAATAGAACCCACAGGGAAGAAATGACTTCTATCAAATTGTTCAGTTGATGGCTTATTCTGCATAAAGCCCAATGCATTTAAATGGCCGTCTAGTAAAGGTAAAGGTTCCCGATTGACATTAAGTCTAGTCGAGTCCAATTCTGGGGAGTGGGCACATCTCCATTTCTAAGCCAAATAGCCGGCATTGTCCATTGACACCTCCAAAGTCATGTGGCTGGTATAACTGCATGGAGCATGAGGAGCTGGAGCTGATAGAGAGAGCTCATCCGCCTCTCCCCGGATTCGAACCTGCGACCTGTCGGTCTTCAGTCCTGCCAGCACAGGGGTTTAACCCACTGCGCCAACGGGGGCTCCTTAACTCCACCAATGATGGAATTGAACCAGCCTTGGCACACACGACCTACAGATAATACTGGAAGGGTTTGGTGGGTGTTGACCTTGAGTTTGGGAGTTATAGCTCACCAACCACCAGAGATCACTGTGGGCTCAAACAATCATGGATCTGGACCAAATATTGGCACAAGTACTCAATATGCCCAAATGTGAACAGTGGTGGAATTTGGGAAAATAGAGCTTGACATTTGGGAGTTGTAGTTGCTGGGATTTATAGTTCACCTACAATCACAGAGCATTCTGAACCCCACCAATAGAATTGGGTCAAACTTCCCACACAGAACCCCATGACCAATAGAAAATACTGTGTTTTCCGATGGTCTTTGGCAACCCCTCTAACACCCCCCCTCGCCAGGATTTCGTTTGGGGGGGGGCTGAATTTTTTTCAGGGGGGGTTTCGGGGGGGCTGAGTTTCGGGGGGGGGCTGAGTCTGAGTGAAAGAGGGGCTACCCTAGCAAACCTTTTGTATCATTACCCCAATACCCCCATGCATATGGGATATATGAGCATGATGATATGAATAAACATAACAGTTTAAATAATGCACCAGTAAGGCCTTTTGCGAACCACCATGAGAATTTCGGGGGGGGGGGCTGAAGCCCCCCAAGTCCCCCCCCCCGGCTACATGCCTGCCCCCAGGGGTCCCGACCCCCAGGTTGAGAAACGCTGTTTTAATCCCTTGCTTTGGTGAACAAATCAGCTCCTTTATGGGATAGAGAGCATGCCATGCCTACATTTCCAGAAGCATATCTGGCTTATCAAGCCTCAGGAGTGGATACATTCCCAAAGAGACATGGGACAAAGGCAAAGGTAAACATTAACAATGTGGAAGTCATCTATTACAATACAGATCCCTCTGGCAGCTAATGAGTAGAAGCAGTGCAATAACAAGACCAATGGAGCAGAACACGAGACATCAATGTTAACAGAAAAAACATGAATGGGAGGAAATCTTTAGGTTCCACTCAGCTTATTTTAAACAGGAAGAATCAGAGATCCAGGCAGAAATGAACGTTTTAGAGATGGTTAGAAATCTAAAAATAGTAATCGAAAAGAATACACAATGGTGATTATTCTCACTTTAAAATCCACCCAGGAAATGACACACTTATTAATAGAATCAAAACAGGGAGCAGGTGCATATGTCATTGAGTCCAAGTCCCTGCTCAATGCAAGAAATCTAGCAAGAGTATCACCAGCAAGTAGGTTTCAAGCCTCTTTTTAAAGATATCCAGAGAAACAACCTCCATTTACATCTCCTAAATAAAGGAAGATTTAATGTGTTTTTAATTGTAATTGATTTGACAGAGCAGACATATGAAGCAGTAGCATCATTGATATCCAAGAATGTAATATCAAGCAATAACTTACAGGAAAGGAGATTCCACCTGAGCATTAGGAAGAACTTCCTGACTGTGAGAGCTGTTCAGCAGTGGAACTCTCTGCTCCGAAGTGTGGTGGAGGCTCTTTCTTTGGAGGCTTTTAAATAGAGGCTGGATGGCCATCTGTTGGGAGTGCTTTGAATGCGATTTTCCTGCTTCTTGGCAGGGGGTTAGACTAGATGGCCAACGAGGTCTCTTCTAACTCTACGATTCTATAATTACAACTTGCCAAAAGGATACCCAAATTCTCCTGGAGCTTCCACAAAGGACTCCCTTTACAGAAGCTTTTCTCAGCTCTGGCTAGGAATGTAAATGTTCACTTATTTCATTATTTCATACAAGTATGAAAAATATTGAAAGTTGTCTCCCCACAGGGCAGGATTATGAGAGCTTTTGCAGATTTTTCAATTATTTCAAGATTTTGGTGTGTGCGCTTTTTTATTGTTTCAGGATTTTTGTGAAAATTGTATGAACTTTTTTGTGTGCAAAACATCAGCACAAAAACATTTTTGCACAAACCTCAACCATTTAGAATGAATTATATTTTGTTTGTGCAAAAGCTTTTTCATGAAATTTTAGCAGATAAATATTAAATGATAAAAAATTATGCATTGGTTGAATTTTTTGTAGTGGTACCATCAACAGGGAGCCCCTGGTGATGCAGCGGGTTAAACTGCTGAACTTGCTGACCGTAAGGTAATTGGTTCGAATCTGGGGAGCAGGGCGAGCTCCCACTGTTAGCCCCAGCATCTGCCAACCTAGCAGGTCGAAAACATACAAATGTGCGTAGATCAATAGGTACCGCTTTGATGGGAAGTTAATGGCGCCCCAAGCAGTCATGCTGGCCACATGACCTTGGAGGTGTCTACGGGCAACACTGGCTCTTCGGCTTAGAAATGGAGATGAGCACCAACCCCCAGAGTCAGATATGACTGGACTTAATGTCAGGAAAAACTTTTACCTGACCTAATACACATTCTTGCTGGTCAGAGATTTCATCATTATTGTATTCCAATTTTGTTTTGAATCACATAGTTTTGTCTACTACAAGCATATGTTGTAGTAGACAAAACATGACCTTGGCGGTATCTATGGACAACGCTGGCTCTTTGGCTTAGAAATGGAGATGAGCACCAACCCCCAGAGTCGGACACAGCTAGACTTAATGTCAAGGGGAAACCTGTACCTTTTTACCATCAACAGAGTCTGAAAGTTAGTTATTACACACCTGTAACAAATTATTGGAGAGTGGGGAATAACAAGCTACACTTCAAAAACAAATTAGTAACCAAGAAGAACATTACATTGTGGTGTAAATAATAATTTCAAGTTTCAGAAATCAAAACAATAACTTTATTGGCGTTTTCATAATTTTATACTGTTCAATCCTGGTGGGTTTTTTATTTTAAAAAGCGATAAATATAATGTCAAAAGAATAATTACAGGAGTTGTAATCCAACACTCAAACCACCACACCATGCTCTAACAGGATGGATTACTTACATGTTTTTGACAGATACCCTTTTTTATCAAGGCAGAGAAAAATTGAGAAAAGTTATCCATGTTTCTTGCTGGAGTGCCCGCTACTTGTTTTGGACTACAAATCCCATCACAACCACACACACTGCACAGTCAATGGCTTTAGTTTGTGGGGATGATGGGAGTTGAAGCATGCCTGATTCCAGAAGGTTCTTTTATGCATTTGAAGCAAAACTAAAGGTTTCTGATATGAGCCACTCTTATGTAATATACCTCATCCGATTTAAGCACTGGTCCTTCTGTATACTGATTGACTTCAGAGAAAATTACTGGCAGAATCCCAAGCAGTTACATTGGAGAGATCTCAGCCAATGCTAACAGTGAACAGAGACATCTGATCTCGTGTGTATAAAAACATTTAGCAAGAAAGTTTAAGAGAAAAATGAATACATGTTCATTTCAGTCTCTGGAGAAGATTGAAGTCATTGTCTGGGATTAGAAGTTGGCACTAAAAGGAAGGAGGAAGGCATTGTTTACTCTTGTACCACTGCAGTTTCCTCTGCCATACTGGTGATGGGGCTTGAATCTGGGGAACAAGAATTAAGCCCTGAATCCTTCGAACGCTTAGATCCAGTGGAAGTTCATGGGATCCCCTTTCACAAGGGCACAGCAAGAAGATGGCGCCTCATATCGGAATTTAAAGCTCGTCCTGATGACCTTGTCATCTGCTCTTATCCTAAGTCAGGTGAGTGAGAAATATGGGGCCTTTTGCAAACCTGTGGGGAGGTAGCACTTGGGGAAGGGTTAGTCAAAGGGCACAATGGTTGCATTGTGGCTTTGTTCTTGCTTTGCCAGGAACCACTTGGATACAAGAAATTGTGGACATGATCCAGCATGGAGGGGACCCCCAGAAATGTGAGAAGGCCCCCATCTACAAACGGATGCCCTTCCTTGAGATGCCTCATCCTGTTGTATCACGTAAGGAAGAGGACAGGGAGCGTTAGGGAGGCGATCACTGAGCATGGATAAGAAGGGCTTAACTCAGCTGAATTCTAAACATTTTCTTTTGGTGTTACAGCCTTGGAAGAGCTAGAGGCCATGACTTCTCCGCGAACAATCAAAACCCACTTACCTGTCCAGCTCTTGCCGCCATCCTTTTGGGAACAGAACTGCAAGGTCAGGAATACTTAAGGGAACAATGTAATTGCTGCATTTGGACCAAGGTTCGATGTCAGGGCTTATTGCCATCTTCTACCTAGCAATACTCCCACCCTGAGCAAACAAGATGATAGTGACTCTGAACATAAAGAGAGCAATAGACCTGGTTGCTCTGGCCTTGCATCACCCCAGTCTTGTTTAGGACAATGCCAATAAAAAGTAAGAAAATGCACCTGAACATCAGCAGTAAAGTTAGACCTCCAGATTCTCTTTCACTGTGAAAGTGAAAAAACATGAATATGTACATTGCTATATTTTTAATCTGAGAGACATCTCTCTAGATATCTCTAGGTCAGCGGTTCACAACCTTTTTTTCACCAGGGACTTCTTGACCAGGGACCACTGTCCACCATTAGTACCAAAAGGGTTACAAATCAGTTTTTGGTCAACTTCAGATTCAGTTTGGTTATTTGGAGTGCTAATTCAGATAGACCACATCAGCTCTGGTTTTTGATACAGAACATATGCCATCCAGTACCTGCCATCTGCATACCTACAGAAAACCATATTTAATAACCCTCAGCACTCTAAGAGGGTTTTACAAGACCAGTTGCTCTTGTTGCAATGGTATAGTAATAGTGAGGTCATGGGCCATATTTTAGCTTTTGTGGACCACTGGTGGTACACGAACTACAGGCTGGAAACCACTGCTCTAGGTTCTCCAGCACAATTCTACCATAGAGAATAGAATAGTGCTGGAGAACCTAGAGATACCAGAATCACCTCTTGTTTGACTGTAGAATAGAATGAGAAGTTGACTGTAGATTTGCATGGGATGACATAGAAGGGTAGTGCCTTGGGCGATCATAGAATTATGCTGGAGAACCTAGAGATACCAGAATTACCTCTAGGCTGACTGTAGAATAGCATGCGAATTGTAGATTTGCATGGGATGACATAGCAGGGTAGCGCCTTGGGTGATAAGCATTATCAGTTCACCTCCTATGCTTATAACTAGATAGCTTTATTATTTACAGTGCTAATATTTATACTGCTTTGCAATAAAATTCCAGGGTAAAGTCAGGGTCTGCTGATTTTATATACACAGACAGCATCATTGTGGAAATTGAGGGGGACAATTAAGACTAATTGGTAGATGTTTATTTTTCCCACTACATTGTGTGTGTGTGTGTTTGCATCAGCACTCAAAGCTGCAGAGCTTTGAATGAAAAGGTAAAGACACCAGCTGCTTTTATAAGCCTAGCTCAGTACAAGATTGTATACTGGACAAAGTCCATGAACTCCATGTCCCAGGTTAAGTGCTCAGGTTGCGTGTCTGCCAGGACAATACCTGTTGAATATTAAACTCCATTCAAGTTTCATAAGACTGTTTCTTTCCCAATTCTGGAATATAGGAAAAATTTCAGGATCTTTCCCATCTCTGTGACAAAAGTTCTAGAGATTTGATTTTGGGTGGCGTGATTTTAATAACTGTTTTTAAATTGTGTTGTTTACGGATGGGTTTTAATATACATATTATTGTATTATCAATGTTTAATTTTTCTACTTTATATCTAAATGTTATTTTATGTGTTATGTTTTAATTTGGTTAGGTTTTTAATTTATAGTTACCGGTATATGTTATTGTCTAGCTATTATGTTTTGTTTTTCACATGTATCTACGCCATTGAATTTTGCCTTTATAATGTTGGAAACCGCTTTGAGTTCCCTCAGGGAGAGAAAAGCAGTATATAAATGTAGTAAATAAATAAATAAAAGTAGTTGGGCCAGATATTTTGCCTTTGGATGAATGACAATGCACCAAAGTCTAAAAGCTCAGCATGGTTTTAACATTTATTTTTTTTAACTCTGATTCAAACATTGTATTTTAATGCCTTAGTTTATGTTTTACCTATCGTAAAAAAGTTCAAAGTTTCCCCTTGACATTAAGTCTAATCAAGTCCGACTCTGGGGGGTGGTGCTCATCTCCATTTCTTAGCCAAAGAGCTGGCGTTGTCCATAGATATCTCCTAGGTCATGTGGCTGGCATGACTGCATGGAGCGCCATTACCTTCTCGCCGAAGCGGTACATATTGATCTACTCACATTTGTATTCTAATAGTGGGAGCTCACCCCACTTCCTGGCTTTAAACTGCCATACTTTTGGTCACCAAGTTCAGCAGCTCAGCGGTTTAACCCGCTACGCCACTGGGGGCACCTATCCTATATTGCTTCTTTTATTGCTGTTCATGAACTGAAAATAAATGATTTTAAACCTATAAAATCTGAAAGCAGTTTATTGTTGTTCTGTTTCAACAGATTATCTATATGGCCAGGAATCCTAAAGACAATGTCCTTTCCTATTTCCACTTCCACCGCATGAATCAAACATATCCAGACCCAGTAACTTGGAATCAGTTTCTGGAGAATTTCCTTGCAGGAAAAGGCAAGTGAAAAGTAGAAATGCAAAGACACATTTGAACATCTGCTTGACCTCTGCTTCCATCCACTTAGCCTCCAGATGTGGGAAGAAATTGAATCCTATTCAGTCAACTTGCTGGTGTTCACTACTTTCCTTAGAGCTGCCAATTAAGTTTATATGATGGAAATGATGATTACATCTCACCTCTTGTATCTCTTTGCAGTGCTATGGGGCTCTTGGTTTGACCACGTTCGCGGTTGGTGGGAGGCTAAGGATCATCATCCAATTCTCTACCTTTTTTATGAAGACATGAAAGAAGTGAGCATCTGAGCTGGCATTAATTCTGCCTGCATCACAGTACTTTCAGGAAACTGATTGGCTACATACAGAGCCATGTTTGAAAATCAGAATGAGAGAGAACTAGCATATATACCCGATGTTGCCCGGGTGTTGTTCAGACCACTGCCTGCCTACTTTCTCCCTTCTCCAATTCTAAGAAGGCCTACCTCACAATGTCACCATGTCAACACTTTTGTGGCTCTCTTTGTGGCTCTTTCCTTCCTTCTTCCCTTTCCCTCATACGCATGCCACCTTCCTTTCCCAGTGACATCACAGAAGGCCACTTCACCTAGAAACAGCCAACCCAATGACATCACAGAGTGCCACTTTACTTAGCAACAGCAAACATACACACGCACACACACACACACACACACTGACTTCTATATATAGATAGAAAAAAAATCAATAAATGAAGGGGTTGCTCCTTGAAGAACACTGCATCTCATTGCTCTTACACTATTGCCGTAAGTGTGTAGTAAAAATAGAGAGCTTTGTTCAAAGTCTGCCGAGATGCCCCTGGAGGTTCAGTTGGTTTCCCCAGCCACATACCACCCAACTGTCTCAGTTTGGCAGGGAAAATTCCCAAATAATCCTATATCCTTCCACTTTTTCAGCTGCTTTTAAAATGTTCCACTTCCCTCTTTTCCCATTTTGGCTGCATCTTACATCACTTACTGCACTTAGTTAACTTACCAGAAAGAAGAGAAGCAAAATCTTGACCTTCCCAGCAGGCTCAAGCAAAAGCAAACTGTTGCATCCTCTCCTAGCTTGTAAATTCTTCCCCATAATAACTTATCTTCCCCATGCTCTGATGTTGGCCACATATTTTTTTAGTTTTCATCCATCCAATGTTGGAGTACAATAGAGTCTTGCTTATCCAACATAAACAGGCCAGCAGAACATTGGAGAATCGAAAATGTTGTGTAATAAGGGGGGATTAAGGAAAAGCCTTTAAATGTCAAATTACGTTATGATTTCACAAATTAAGCACCAAGACATCATGATTTACAACAAATCAAGAGAATAAGCAGTACAATACATGTGGTAATTACTGTATTTATGAATTTAGTACCAAAATATCACATTGTATTAAAATAGCTGTGGATCCAGGTGGGAGGCAGACTGTGCTGGATAATACAGAACGTTCGATGAGCGAAGGTTGGATAAGCGAGACTCTACCTGTATATGCAAAGAGTTTCCAATCAAGCACGCAATGAATGAAGCCAGCTTCACTCAAGATGACTTTCCAGTCTCAAGCATCAAGAAGTCTCTGATCAATAGTCTTGACTTTCTCTCCCTAGGACCCAGGCCGAGAAATCCAAAAGGTAGCCCAGTTCCTTGACTTTGAACTCCCTGAACTGGTTCTGAACAAAATAATACAGCACACAACATTTGAGAGTATGAAAGCAAATCCAATGACTAATTATAGCACTCTGCCTTCTTTTATTTTGGATCAAACAGTGTCATCCTTCATGAGAAAAGGTGAGGACCAAAAAGTTCCAATTACATCAAATGGGAAGAGGTGGTTTGTGCGACTGCTTTGGCCACAAGGGAAGTGGTCATCCAATGTACATACTTCTTGTCTGAAGAAAAGCGGTTTGAAACCAGTAGGTTAAAACAGCAGGAAATAAACATGGTTTTTCCTCCCATAAACAGGCATGGTTGGAGACTGGAAATCAAACTTCACAGTGGCACAAAGTGAAAAGTTGGATGGTATCTGTGATCAGTTATTGAGGAACAGTGGTCTGACTTTCCGCACACAGCTATAAGCACCTTTCAATCCATGGCAGAGAATGTAATGATTAAAAAATCCTGGATCCCTGTTTTTTTAAATCAAATAAACTATGAAGCCACACTGTTTACATTAATTTGCATTTTGTTTCTTCGTCAGTGTTGATGTAGAGATTGTCTGGTTAGCCTGCTCTGGAACATGCAACATATAATAGTCCTTCTTTAGGGATCCCTTTCAAATCTAGGATACTGTATCTGTCATATACATATATGTGTGTGTTTGTTGTTCATTCGTTCAGTCGTTTCTGACTCTTTGTGACTTCATGGACCAGTCCACGCCAGAGCTCCCTGTCGGTCGTCACCACCCCCAGCTCCTTCAAGGTCAATCCAGTCACTTCAAGGATACCATCCATCCATCTTACCCTTGGTCGGCCCCTCTTCCTTTTTCCTTCCATTTTCCCCAGCATCATTGTCTTCTCTAAGCTTTCCTTTCTTCTCATGATGTGGCCAAAGTACTTCATCTTGGCCTCTACTATTCTTCCATTCTATTCCCTGTGTGTGTGAATAATATATATCTATTCATATCAATGGCTGGATGGCACTTTGTCAGGAGGGCTTTGATTATGTTTCCTTGCACTGGTGAAAAAGTTGGCCTTAAGGCAGCATTTCTCAACCTGGGGGTCGGAACACCGGGGGGAGGGGGGTCGTGAGGGGGTGTCAAAAGGGCCGCCAAAGACCACCAGAAAACACAGTATTTTCCATTGGTCATGGGGTTCTGTGTGGAAAGTTTGGCCCAATTCTATTGTTGGTGGGGTTTGGAATGCTCTTTGATTATAGGTGAACTATAAATCCCAGTAACAACTCCCAAATGTCAAGGTCTATTTTCCCCAAACTCATTCTGTGTTCATATTTGGGCATATGGAGTATCAGTGCCAAGTTTGGTGTAGAGCCTTCATTGTTTGAGTCCACAGTGCTCTCTGGATGTAGGTGAACTACACCTCCAAAACTCAAGGTCAATGCCCACAAACCTTTCTAGTGTTTTCTGTTGGACATGGGAGTCCTGTGTGCCAAGTTTGGTCCAATTCCATCGTTGGTGGAGTTCAGAATGCTCTTTGATTGTAAGTTAGCTATAAATCCAGCAACTACAACTTCAAAATCACAAAATCAATTTTTTGAGTGATGGTCACTCCTTGGGTTAGTAGGTTTCTTGTGGCCAAATTTAGTGGCCAATCATCCAGCGGATTTTTAGTTATGATGTCAGTCAAAATGAACAGAGCATTTATAGATATAGAGAGAGGATATATTAAAACCCAACACACTTTATGGAATTGAAGGGAATCTGAATTTGAGGAATAGGCAGGGCCATAGCCAGAAAAAAAATTCGGGGAGGGTTGAAAATTTGGGGGGGGGGGTTGAAAATTTTGGGAGGGGGGTTAGGGTCACACTGAAGCAAAGAGCACAGCAGGAGGCAGAGCAGCCTTCAATAGCCTGCAGCTGCGCCCATGTCAACCACCTCCACCAAGTCTGGCCTCCTTAATGAGAGCATTCAACACACACACCCCCAACTTGGTTGCTTCACTACATCGGCTATTGCTGCAAGTAATGACAGTGTGAATAAATTGTCAATATTTGCTTGAGATAGTGCTTGCAGTTCTGGAGGGACTCTTAATTTTTTGCATCTCATAGACTTTGCTTGGGGATTTGGTTAACCAGTTAAAATTCATGAGTAAATCAGGTTTTTACTCATGAATTGAACCCCTCCCCCCCCCCCCCCCCCCCCCCAGCTACAGGCCTGGGAATAGGTGTGCTCATGTGGCACAGAGAAGGGAAGTCAAGTCAAACAGCAGAGGGAGCAACATCCATACTATAATTAAAAGTCTGTAATCCCATTTTTTTTCTAATATAAAGTCCTGGCTTGTACAAGCTTGTGCTATCAGTCATCAACTGCCGGCAGAGGCGGCCCTAGGTAATTTTCAATGGTAAGCAAAGAGTATTTTGGCGGCCCCCCCCCACAAACCAACACACACACACACACACACACACACATATATATATATATATGGGCATGGACAAATTTTGGCCCTCCAGGTATTTTGGACTTCCTACTGGCTGTGTGTGTGTGTGTGTGTGTGTGTATGTGTATATATATATATATACACACACACACACACACACACACACACTAGCCATCCCCTGCCATGCGTTGCTGTGATCCAGTCTGGTGATCTTGAAAAGAAAGTAATGAGAAAGTGTTGGTTTCTAATCTATGCAATTTCTTTATGCTTGTGGGTAAACAGTACTTCTTGTTGTTTCTTTGTCAGTGTTGATGTGGAGATTGTCTGGTTTGCCTACTCTGGAACATGCAACATAGAATTGTCCTTCTTTAGGGATCCCTTTCAAATCTATGATATTATGTCTTCCATGTGTGTGTGTGTGAATCATATAGATCTATCTCTATCTATGGCTGGATGGCTCTTTGTCAGGAGGGCTTTGATTATGATTTCTTGGATGGCCATGCAGTCCATCAATCCCCCTTTGAGGCAGAATTTCCTAGCTAACAATAATCTAAGTAAATGCAGCCAGACCACAAATAAGCAGTTCTGTTACATTATCTGACTAACAAGGTTATCCTCCGATCAGATTAAAGTATTTTAAACTGTTGTTGTTGTTGTGTGCCCTTAAGTCATTTCCGATTTATGGGTACCCTAAGGCACAAATAACAAAGTGCAATTCATCAGGTATCAAAGGGCCCTTCCACATTGCCATGCAACCCAGAATAACAAGGCAGATAATCCACATTATCTTCTTTGAACTGGGTTATCTGAGTTCACACTGCCATATAATCCAGTTCAAAGCAGAGAATCCGTATTTTATATGGCAGCGTAGATGGGGCTGAAAACCCTTTCTTCACTGCCTTATATCCCAGGATCTGAACTGAGATTATTTGCTTTAAACTGGGTTAAACACTGCCAGATAATAATAATAATCTTTATTTATTAATCTGGGATAAGAAAATAATCTGGGTTCAGATCCTGGGTTATAGGGCAGTGTCGATCCAAAACCTCTTCTACACAGCTGTATCCAGATTCTCTGCTTTGAACTGAATTATATGGCACTGTAGACTCAGGGCCCTTCCACATAGCCCTATATCTCAGAATATGAATGCAGAAAAACCCACATTATCTGATTGTGGACTCAGATAACCCAGTTCAAAGCAGATATTGTGGGATTTTCTGCCTTGATATTCTGGGTTATATGTTTGTGTGGAAGGTCCCTGACAGGTCCTATATCCTAGGATCTGATCCCAGATTTTCTGCTTTAAACTGGATTATATGAGTCTGCACTGCCAGATCATCTGGGATAAACTGAAAACCTGGGATCAGATCCTGGGATATAAGGTCTGCCTGGAAGGGCCCTGTGATAATCCAGTTCAAAGCAGATAATATGGATTATGTGCCTTGATATTATGGATTATACAGTTGTGCAGAAGAGCCCCAAACCTCCTTCTACACTGCCATATAATCCAGGCCAAAGAGGATAATCTGGATTTCTTCAGATAATGTGGATGTCTTCACAGTTTGCACTGTAGTTTAACATCCCTTTAACTACCAGGGCTCAATGCTAGGGAATTCTGGGGGTTGTTGTTTTAGGGCCCTTCCACACAGCCATATAACCCAGAATATCAAGGCAGAAAATCCCACAATGTCTGCTTTGAACTGGGTTATCTGAGTCCACACTGCCATATATTCCAGTTCAAAGCGGAAAATGTGGGATTTTATTCAGCTGTGTGGAAGGACCCCCACAATGCCTTCTCTGCCAAAGCCCAGCAAACTACAGCTCCCAGGATAGCACAGCACTGAGTCAGGGCAGTTGAAAGTGTGGCACTGCATTCATTCCATAGTGTAGTTCAGGCATGGGCCAACTTGGGCCCTCCGGGGGTTTTATATGGAAGTGGGGCCTGAAGTTGGCCCATGCCTGGTGTAGAAGCACTCAAAGGCAAAGCATGAACAGAGCGCCCCTCTTTCCCTCCTTCCCCGGGGCACCTGCCTGCTGTCTCCTCTCTGGGGTCCACAATGGAACCCTTTGGAGGTGGCGCATCCCTCTTGGGCTGATGAGCCCCCCCCCCACGAGCGGCGAGTGACTAACCCACTGAGACGGCCCGGGTGGGCTGCTTTCCTCCAAGTCACTCTTTGGGAGCACAGCAGGAAGGCACCTGATGCCTGGAGGAGGCAGCAGCACCACCTTCAGAGGGAGCTCGGCTTCATCGTCCTGAGGCAGCGCGGGGAAGGCGCAGGAGAGAGAAAGAGCAGCTCCCCTCGTCTCCTCACGTGCGCACCCACTGAGTGGAGGGAAGCAGAGAAGCCCGCCTTTCCCATCCAACTGTGGGGCGCATGCGCGGAACCAGAAGGGAGGCGGCGGAGTGCCCCGTCTCCGTGTCGCCTTCAAGAAGGAGAGGGAGGCAGAGAGAGGGGCATTTACAGAGGCGACTCTGCGCGGCGCCCCTGGCCAAAAAAAAGTGTACAGCAGCCGCTTACTTCGAGTAATTGATAAACCGGCCCTGACTGCCGGATTTTAATCGCTGCTGTGCAGAATTTGGTGACATTATAAGTTATAGTCGAATTAGTGTCTGAAAGCAGCAGGGAGATGTAAAATTGTCCAGAGCATCCTGGATGTTTGTTTAGCCATGGCGTAATGAGATGGGATTGAATATCTCTATAGAACAGGCACTGAGGAAGCACATGTTCTGTTGTCTCTATGTCTCCTGAGTCACAGGGGCACCGTCTCTTGGAAAATGGGGTCTTCCGGTAATGGCTGTCCAATACATCAGATGGGAGGGCATAACAACATGCCGGACTGGAGGCTCTCTGGTGGCTGGAAACCTTCAGCGTGGTTAGATATTTCATAGGGGAGGTACAAAACCTACTAACTCAATTGATGATAAAGAATGGGGCTCTGGCTAAGTCTGATTGGCACTCAATAAAATAATAATAATAAAACTTTATTTATATTCTGCCCTATCTTCCCAAGGCAGATTCCAACAAACAAAAAAGGCAAATGTTTAATGTCTCTGTACAACAACAAATGCAAGCATAATCCCMCCCCCCCCCCCGAAAAAACAACCACATATGAAAACAACTTATAAAATGACATCTATAAATGAAATAAAACATAACCTATCAACAATTATATTTAACATAAAACCTAAACAAACTCAATACCGATATTTGGGGTGTTTTTTCAGACGTTCTTTTTTAGCTTTTGATACTCCTGCTTCAACATGATTGTGATGTGTGGATGGATAAATGAAATTGTATGATGTATGGACTGAATGAAAATTTTATGATTGGGGTCTGTTATTCATTGTTTAATTAGAGATTTGGTTTGGTCATAGTCCATACTGGTTAGCAGTCCTGGAAAGAAGCCCAGGGATGATTTCTTTTTGGTCTGGTATTGACTTTTCCCATCTGGACTAAAGGTCATCCAACTCAGTAAGTGGTGAAAGGCCAAGGGGAGAGAGGGATAGTCTAAGCCATTAGTTCAGTATAACCACCCACACCCTGGGCTCAATTCTCAGGAAGCCATTCTCCAGACGTAGGGTGGTGTTGGAGATAAACCTTGGTACCCGGAGGGCTGATCTTAAGAATTTGGATTGTACACTTTCCAATGGGGTAAAGTCAGAAAAGGGGCCTAACTGGGCACCGTAGAGTAGTTCTGCAACTGGTTTGGCTGTATATAGTTTGAGTGCCGCGGGTATGAAGTATCCCTTTTTTGACGAGCTCCTTTGCACAATCTCAGCCACATGGTCACCAACATGTCATTTAACTTATTTACTTTTTCTCATGAAATTGTAAATATTTGACCTGTTCAATTGCTCTACTGAAAACTTTAAATAACCAACATGTCATTTAAAGTTTTCAATAGAGCAGTTGAACAGGTCAGATATTTACTATTTCAACAGACTCCTGAGGTTTTTTTTTTTTTGCAGCCAGGATTTCAAATAATTTATTTCACCATCCCCTTGAGGATATTGTTCTATGACCTCTTCCCCACTGTAGATAAGGAAGAGAAACCCAACAGCTAGATTGAGGAGGGTGGTTTTAGTATCTTATCTGTGCAATCCAGGATGTTATACTTTTTCACCCTATCTTTGTCCTCTTTATCTCTTTTCCCTTTCCCTTCCCTTTCCTGCTGTTCTGTTATTGAAAAACATTGTCCACGGGGGGGTTTCTCATGGTGAAATTCTTTGCCGAAATCTGATCCTTGAATTGGAAGGTTGTTTTTCTCTGCATCCGTAGAGATTTTACCTCTCTGGGAACGTTATATAATTTCCTCCTTTGGCCCTGCCTCCTACCAGAAGAGGAGTTAACTGTTTGCTCTCTAGTCCATTTCGAGCCCAACTACAGACACACTTTGCGGTAAGTCTAATTTATGTTGTTTTCTCTAAAAAATGATGGATTTGGGTCTGATTTCTGGCAGTGGCACCAGGGTAAGACTTTGAGGCAAAAGTCTAGGGACTCATGAAGAAAAATAAACAACAGGGTCCAAAAATGCAACACAGTTGGATTGTCATATTTTGAAGTAAATAAAGCAATGTCAAAATTTGGAAAAATTATTTGTAGTTACAATTCTAAGATATGGGGAGATAAGTTAAAGAAAGTGATACTTTTCTGGGCTGTGAATGATACATATTAGCCTCCTAAGAATCTTTCCTTTCTGTCTGGAGGATTCAAAATCAGAGCTGAAAACTATTTTTATGGTGGCAAATAACATGCAATATATCTATACTGCAAGCACATTTATTTATTTATTGTATCAGGAGCGAATCAATGTATTTGAGAAAAACACAAAGTTTTAAAACTTGGCATTATATTAAAAGTCCTTCGACCAGTAGCTGGCCACTTGGAGTGCCTCTGGTGTAGCTATAAGAAGGTCCTCCATTGTGCATGTGGCAGGGCTCAGGCTGCATTGTAATAGGTGGTCTGTGGTTTGCTCTTCTCCACACTCACATGTCATGGACTCCCCTTTGTAGCCCCATTTCTTAAGGTTTGCTCTGCATCTCGTGGTGCCAGAATGCAGTATGTTCAGTGCCTTCCAAGTCTTCTGTGTGCCCAGGAGGAAGTCTCTCATTTGGTATCAGCCATGGGTTGAGGTTCTGGGTTTTAGCCTGCCACTTTTGGACTCTCGCTTGCTGAGGTATTCCTGCGAGTATCTCTGTAGATCTTAGAAAACTATTTTTTGCAAGCATAGAGAGATGCATTTAGATTCTCACACCATTAGGAAATTCCTGAAGAAGTTTCAGAGGATGTAGTAGCTGGCAGAGAGCCTAGGTCTAGCGTGTAAGAAGTTCATCCAGTAACACGCCCTACCTTGCTGTATTAAAAATGACACACCCTTCCAAGGATTTATATGGACAGAGCAAAAAACCTCAGAAAGAGACAGCCAAGGGACAGAAGAAGAAAAGCACAGTCACAACTCCTGAGAGGAGTAACAGTGACAGGTAGGTAGACTATATTTTACTTGTGTTCTTATGGATCAAAGACATTCTGAAGTCCCAATAACATCTGGAGAATCACTGTTTCCCAGAGAGTATTTGAGGATCAGGACATTCATAGATACTTGTTTATAAGGTTATTGTCCTTCCAACTCTATTGTGAAACATGAAACATCTACAAATGTAACTCTTGACTTCTGGAAAGATTCCATCAGAGTTGTCCTTGAAAAAACTTGCAAATCTCTTGGAAACACAGGCAGACAAATATCAGCATTCTGGGAGAAGCAGACACCAACAGCATTGAAGCAATGATCCTCAGTCATTGACTTTACTGACTGGCCACATTGTCCAAATGCCTGATTACCGTCTCCCAAAGCAGTTACTGTACTCTCAAATTAAAAACAAAAATTGAAATGTCAGTGGTCAGCAAAAGAAACGTAAAAATGGGTTTAAAACAAACCTTTAAAAATGTGGAATAAACACAGAGAACTGGGAAGCCCTAGCCCTTGAGTGCTCTAACTGGCGGTCAACTGTAATCAATAGTGCTATGGGTTTTGAAGAGGAAAGTACAAAAGGAAAAAATCCACCAAGAGGATCTTGTTGTGGTCTCCTTCCATTTGGAAATCTATGTCCTCACTGCAAAAGACCATGTGAATCCAGAATAGGTCTACACAGACACTTATGGACTCACCTACACTTGGAAGACAAATATACTCATCCACAAGTAAATAGCTGATAGATACAGTAGAGTCTTGCTTATACAACATAAACGGGCCAGCAGAACTTTGGATAAGCGAAAATGTTGGATAATAATAAGGGATTAAGGAAAAGCCTATTCAATGCCAAATGACGTTATGATTTTACAAATTAAGCACCAAGACATCATGGTTTACAACAAATCGACAGAAAAGGCAGTTCAATACATGGTAAGGTTATGTAGTAATTACTATATTTATGAATTTAGCACCAAAACATTGCAATATTTTGAAACAGCTGTGGATCCGGACAGGAGGCAGACTGCATTGGATAATACAGAATGTTGGATGAGTGAAGGTTGGATAAACATGACTCTACTGTATATTCATTTTCTTGTAGATCCCAGTTGTCTCATGCTATCCCTTTTCCTTCCCTTCCAGATGATGGACCCATCATTAATAAAACGTGCAACACTGATGGAGATTGAAGGGGTCTCTCTAAATAATGATACAGTAGAGAACTGGGATACTCTATGGGCTTTCAAAGCCCGACCCGATGACATTCTCATTTCCACATATCCCAAAGCAGGTAAAGTGGGAGCAGAAATGACAAAGGAAATATACTGGTATGGCAGTGGGGAGATAGGAATGGACATGGATATGTGGTATGGAGCTTGGGAGAATGAAAATCACGAAATAGATTATGGAATCTCTTATTTTTCTAACAGGGACCACCTGGATTCAGGAAATTGTAGACATGATTCAGCACAGAGGCGACTCCCAAAAATGCGCTCGAGCCCCTGTCTATCAGCGGTTTCCCTTCATAGACTTGTTTCTTCCAGCACCCTTGGTCAGTGGTGAGTAAAAAGTGTTGTTTCAGAGGCCTGACAATTTTAACTTGCATTTTATTAATGAATTTTACTTGCATTTTCACTGTGTGTATCCTTTATATGTATTTCAATAATCTTGTGTCTTATCTCTCTGTTTTACCCCTGTTGTACTCCACCTTGAGCTGCAAGGAGAGGTAGATAATATGATTATGATGATTACTGATGTGGGGGGAGTGGAAAGGGAAATGTTGGAACTTATGAGAGTCTAATGGCATCTCAAGTTTTCTTATAGTCTAATAGCATTCCATGTTGACTGTCCTCTAAAAACGGAGTCTCAGGTCTGAATAGTTCCAGATCTGGGTCACATGGTCTGTAGACCCTGCCACAACATAGAGTTAAGGTAAAACCGCATACCAATACACACATATACAATACAGTAAGCAATCTGAATTATATACATAACAAATAACTAGTATAGAAGGCTTGTAGAAGTTTGCTGTTTCCAACAATTATGATGATCGTTGATGCGGGGAGAGTGGGAAGGGAGATGATGAACCTATGGAAGTGTCAAAATTGATGACCCTATCCTTTGGTTCTGGATTTCCTTCTTCAGAAAGGGTGGTGTTCTTGTGATGCCATGTTTCCTTCTCTCGGTAAAATCTATGGCTGTGTGAATCCTGATGCCTTCAAATGTATGGACTCCATGCTTCTAGGAAATATTTGGGTTTTTTTTATTTTAAGAAATCACAATGAATGAAATGCTGATGAAGAAGCACCCTTTTGCATATATAAATGTATGTACAGTGGATGGTTTCATATTAGTGCACCTTATGAAAAAATGCATTTCACTTTTTATACTATTTTCTTCCAACATTAAAAAAGTGGGGGCAAGAGAGCCTGATGGGCTGAAATACATAAAGAACATATTTTGCTTGATTCTTTCATCACTAATTGAACGTCCCTCTCTGGTGTTGCAGGCATAGATGAGGCAGAGACAATGCCTTCTCCGCGTACAATCAAAACTCACCTCCAACTCAAGCTTTTGCCACCTTCCTTCTGGGAGCAGAATTGCAAGGTCAGAAGGACGGGGGCGGGGGGGGGGGAATTGATCAGAGCAGACCCAGTATTAAAATTTGGGCATATTAGGTATTTGTGCCAAATTTGGTCCAGTGAGTGAAAATGCATGTCACATATTTAAATTACGATTCATAACAGTAGCACCATTAGTTATGAAGTAGCAACCAAAATAATGTTATGGTTGGGGTATTAAGGGGTTGAGAACCACTGCTGTATATGACTGAAAAGTTTTGACTTAGGACTCTTGCATTCTCTGCTCGGATAGCCAATACTCCAGAGGACAGGAGCACGATTCAAAATGATCTTGACAGATTAGAGAGATGGGCCAAAACTAACAAAATGAAGTTCAACAGTGACAAATGCAAGATACTCCACTTTGGCAGGAAAAACGAAATGCAAAGATACAGAATGGGGGATGCCTGGCTCAAGAGCAGTACGTGTGAAAAAGATCTTGGAGTCCTCGTGGACAACAAGTTAAACACGAGCCAACAATGTGATGTGGCGGCAAAAAAAGCCAATGGGATTTTGGCCTGCATCAATAGGAGCATAGTGTCTAGGTCTAGGGAAGTAATGCTACCCCTCTATTCCGCTTTGGTTAGACCACACCTGGAATATTGTGTCCAATTCTGGGCACCACAATTCAAGAGAGATATTGACAAGCTGGAATGTGTCCAGAGGAGGGTGACTAAAATGATCAAGGGTGGAGAACAAGCCCTATGAGGAGTGGCTTAAGGAGCTGGGCATGTTTAGCCTGAAGAAGAGAAGGCTGAGAGGAGATATGATAGCCATGTATAAATATGTGAGAGGAAGCCACAGGGAGGAGGGAGCAAGCTTGTTTTCTCCTTCCCTGGAGACTAGGACGCGGAACAATGGCTTCAAACTACAAGAGAGGAGATTCCATCTGAACATGAGGAAGAACTTCCTGACTGTGAGAGCCGTTCAGCAGTGGAACTCTCTGCCCCGGAGGGAGTGTGGTGGAGGCTCCTTCTTTGGAAGCTTTTAAACAGAGGCTGGATGGCCATCTGTCAGGGGTGATTTGAATGCAATATTCCTGCTTCTTGGCAGGGGGTTGGACTGGATGGCCCATGAGGTCTCTTCCAACTCTTTGGTTCTATGATTCTATGATTTTACAGATTATTTATGTGGCCAGGAATGCTAAGGACAATGCTGTCTCCTACTTCCACTTTCACCGGATGAACAAGGGGATGCCCGAGCCAGGCACCTGGGAGGAGTTTCTGGACAATTTCATCACCGGAAAGGGTGAATACAGGCTAGAAAAAAATTTCATGTCATTTTAGTATAGTGATGCCCTTACTATAACATTGATAAACAATAGCATTTCTGTAAAAGTAAGCGATTTCACAAATGCGGTATATGATAAAGCAGGGGTCCTCAAACTAAGGCCCGGGGGCCAGATATGGCCCTCCAAGGTCATTTACCCAGCCCTCACTCAGGGTCAACCTAAGTCTGAAATGACTTGAAAGCACACAACAACAACAACAACAATCCTATCTCATCAGCCAAAAGCAGGCCACACTTCCCATTGAAATACTAATAAGTTTATATTTGTTAAAATTGTTCTTCATTTTAATTATTGTATTGTTTTTAAGTGTTTTTGCACTACAAATAAGATATGTGCGGTGTGCATAAGAATTCATTCATGTTTTTTCTAATTATAATCTGGCCCACAGTTTGAGGGACTGTGACTGGCCATCTGTTTAAAAAGTTTGTGGACCCCTGTGATAAATAATCAAAAACTTAACACACTAGCTCATTGTGACAGGATCAACATTCTCATTTAACATGTTTTTTTATGATATCAATGGCTAAATGGCTACAAATAAGAAATGTGCAACTTTTATGGGATGTACCACTTTAACTGCCATGGTGCAATGCGATAGAATCTTGAGATTCTTTGGCAGCGAAGGCTAAAGTCCAGGTAAAACACCAACTCCCACGTATTGTTGAAGGCTTTCATGGCCAGAATCACTGGGTTGTTGTGAGTTTTCCGGGCTGTCTGGCCATGTTCCAGAAGCATTCTCTCCAGACGTTTTTCCTGCATCTATGGCAGGCATCCTCAGAGGATGTGAGGACAACTCCTATGATTCCATAGCATTGAGCCATGCCTGATTCTACAGTGTAGATGCACCTGAATGTAGTGCATATGTGTGTTCAAGTTGCATGTCAACTTATAGTGACACTATGAATTCCATAGGATTTTTAAGGCTAGAAATTCTCCAAAGTAGTTCTGCCAGGTCTTTCCTATAACACCATGTATTTATTTGGAATCTCCCATCCAAGTATTATATTGTAATAAAATTACACTTTCATTTCTCCATAAAAATTAGCTGAGATGTGTTGTCCTCAATGCACTTTAGAGGGGAAAATAACTATGAATATGAATGAAATCTTCAACCTTCCTTAATACACAAGAGAAACTGGAAAATGGGAGCAACAAGAGACAGAAGAAGAGCAATCACCCCATTTAATCCCTTTCAATCTGTTCTGTATTTTTAAGAGAGGATGGGTGGAGTCAGGGGAAAATATGCAAACCAGATTACTATGTCTCATTATCTCCTTTTATTTCTCCCCGCAGTTGCCTGGGGATCTTGGCTTGACCACGTTTGTGGTTGGTGGGAAGCCAAAGACCGCCATCCCATTCTGTATCTTTTTTATGAAGACATGAAAGAGGTATGTCACTTATTGTACACACACAACTTGACAAGCAAGTCTCTAAATGGAGAATGGTGGGAAATCCAAATTATTGGAATCTCATTTTGTAGTTATGTGTTTTTAGTCTTTTCTGCCTTATGGCGACTGCAAAGCAACTTGTTCCAAGGTTTTCGTAGCAATATTTGTTCAGAATTGGTTTGCCTTTGTTTTCCCCTGAGATTAGGAGAGTGTGACTTTCCCAAGGTTACTACTTTACTTGCATGGCTCAATGTTATGCAATCCTGGGATTCATTGTTCAGCGAACCACCAGCACTCTTTAGAAGGCTGAAGACCTTGGAAAACTCCACTCTATGATTCTATAGCACTGAGCCATAGCAGTTAAAGGGGTGTCAGACTGCAGTAATTTTACAGTGTAGATAAACTCAAAATAATTTCAATTCATATTCTTTGTATCCTACCCTGTCATCTCGGGCAAGAGAAAACAAGCATGCTCCATCCTCTGACCGTAGGGTGTCAGGTAAGCAAGAAATACAGAGGGTTGCTGTGAGTTTTCCTGACTGTATGGCCATGTTCCAGAAGCCTTCTTTCCTATGTTTCACCACATCTATGGCAGGCATCCTCAGAGGTTGTGAGGTCTCAGACCTCTGAGGATGCCTGCCATACATGTGGGTGAAACATCAGGAGAGAATGCTTCTAGAACATGGCCATACAGCCCGGAAAACTCACAGCAACCCACTGATTCTGGCCATGAAACCCTTCGACAATATAAGAAATATATAAATAACCAGAATAACCTTTATGTCTGTCTACCTAGGATCCATCGCGGGAAATAAAGAAAGTAGCCAAGTTTCTTGGCATCCAGCTGACAGATTCACTTCTGAACCAAATTGTACAGCACACAGCATTCGAGAGCATGAAAGGAAACCCAATGGCAAATTACAGGACCTTGCCTGATTTCATCATGAACCATACTGTATCGCCTTTCATGAGAAAAGGTGAGGACAAAAGCAAAGGCCAACTTGTATTCACAGCTAGTGGGTGGAAAGCCATCTAAGCAAGCGAAACAGATGCAGTCAAGTTTAGAACACTATTGAAGGGGGAATAAGGGTACTGTAGAATCAATGCAGTTTGACTCCACTTCATGGCTCAATGCTACAGAATACTGGGAGTTGTAGTTTTACAGGGGCTTTACCCTTCTCAGTCTAATAATAATAATAATAATAATAATAATAATAATAATAATAATAATAATTTGGATTATTGATGTCGCCATACTGGTTGACAGTTGTATTAAGAAAAATCAACAACAGAAAACTCAGCCATTATCAAGACCTCAAAATCGAACTGCAAAGGCTCTGGCATAAACCAGTACAGGTGGTCCCAGTGGTCATTGGCACACTGGGTGCCGTGCCAAAAGATCTCAGCCGGCATTTGGAAACAATAAACATTGACAAAATCACGATCTGTCAACTGCAAAAGGCCACCTGACTTGGATCTGCATCATTCAAAAATACATCACACAGTCCTAGATGCTTGGGAAGTGTTCGACTTGTAATTTTGTGATACGAAATCCAGCATATAGATCTCGTTTGCTGTGACATGCTGTGTTTTTGTGGAAGTAAAATAATAATAATAATAGTATTTTTTTTACTTTTTTGTATTGTACTGTGTGTCTATTTTATGCGTTTTTTTAGGCACTATGTGTCATGTGTTAGCTGCCCTGAGTCCCTTTGGGGAGATGGAGGTGGGGTACAAAAATAAAGTTATTATTATTTTACTGACCAAAAAAACCACAGTATGACACAGCAAATGAGATTTATATACGAAATTCAGCATAGATATCTCATTTTCTGTGTCATACTGTGTTTTTCTGTCGGTAAAATAATAACTTTATTTTTGTACCCTGTCTCCATCTCCCCAAAGGGACTCAAAGCAGCTTACGCATACCACAAAGTGCCTAAAAACAACCCATAAAATGAACACACAGTACAATTCAAAAAAGTAAAACCAATAGCATATAAAAATAATTTAAAAACTCAGAACAACACCCAATAACCTATGGTGACAACTGCTGTAAGGTATGGCTAAATTGTAAACAAGACAAGGGAATGGGATAGTGCAAATTGTAGCTAAGGAACAAGGTCACGGGATGAAAGTGCAGTGCTGTGTCATAATTGCGGGCCAATTGTCATTAGTTTACATTCTCAAAGGCTTGTTTAAACATCCACGTCCCTACGAAGGAGGACAGTGTGCAGGCCTGCCTGTACCTCGTTAAACTATAAATCCTAGGATTCCATAGCATTGAGCCATGGCAGTTAAAGTGGTGGCAAACTGCATTAATTCTACAGTTGGATATAGAATTAAAGTGGTGTGCTGCGAATTACAGATTAGAGATGTACACACAAGGGGTGTTCTCTATCTGGTCCATTAGGTGGCAGTCACCATCTGTTAAGGGACAGAGTTCAGAAAACTGGTATACCTACTTTCAGCCAAACTGTATACTACTAATGTCCTTTTAACAGCACACATATAATACCTATAGATTCTCAACCTTCCTAATGCGCAACCCCTTAATACAGTTCCTCATGTTGTGGTGACCTCCAACCATAACATTATCTTCATTGCTATTTCACAACTGTAATTATGCTACTGTTATGAATCGTAATGTAAATATCCGACATGCAGGATGTATTTTCATTCATTGGACCAAATTTGACACAAATACCCAAATTTGGTGAGGTTGGGGGGAGACTGATTTTTGTCATTTGGGAGTTGTAGTTTCTGGGATTTATGGTTAACCTACAATCAAGAGCATTCTGAGCTCTACCAATGATGGAATTGAACCAAACTTGGCACACAGAACTCCCATGGCCAAGAGAAAATACTGGAAAAGTTTGGTGGGCATTGTCCTTGAGTTTTGGAGTTGTAGTTCACCTGCATCCAGAGAGCTCTGTGGACTCAAACAATGATGGATCTGGACCAAACATGGCATGAATACATAATATGCCCAAATGTGAACACTGGTGGAGTTTAGGGAAAATAGACCTTGACATTTGGGAGTTGTGGTTGCTGGGACCAATAATCAAAGAACCCAACCAATGATAGAATTGGGTTCAACTTCCCACACAAAACCCCAACAACCAACAGAAAATGCTATGTTTTGTGATGGGTTTTGACGACCCCTCTGACACCCCCTCGCGATCCCCCGAGGGGTCCTGACCCCCAGGTTGAGAAACGCTGCTATAGATTGTAACAGAAAATAAGACTAATCTCCCTGTTGCAAAAGTGTTATACTTATATATTAGAGACAGCTGATTTCTACAGATCAACTCACAACAATGTGAGTTGTCTTCCAGTGTCAAGATAGGAAATTTGAAACCTATGGATCAGGATAGCAGGAAAAGAGCACAGGGAATTTGTATTCCTGAAATATTTATTCTTGTGGGTTATTTTCATTCAGCTATGAATAGGTTTTTAATTGATTCTATTGATTTTTTAATATGTTAATATTTAAATGTATTGTAATGTTTGTATATTTTTAGGTTTTGCATTGTATTTTTTTATTGTGAGTATTCTTTAGAGGGAAAACACGAGATACCAATAACAATGACAACAACAACAATATTTTTTCTCTTTCTTCAGGACTTGTAGGGAACTGGAAGGAGCATTTCACTGTGGCTCAGAGCGAACGGCTCGATGATGCTTTTGCAGAGAAACTACGGAGCAGTGGCTTGACCTTCCGCACCCAGCTTTGAGAATCTCAGCAGCCTCATATAATACAGTTCAAAACTGATAATGAGGATTATCTGCTTTGATAATCTGGATTACATGGCAGTGTAGAAGGTTTAGGAAAATGGAAATCTCCATAGCCTTTTGGAGATTTTGTGATCTTTGGAAAGGCATGAACTTGTTAGAAGTCACAAAATTTTGAAAAATGGTGTCATAACCTCTTGGTAAAAAGCATGACTTGTTAAGAACCTTTTGGGAAAATGGCATTTATGCAAGGCAACTAGGTTTCTCAGCTGTACTGATGTACTTAGGTATGTCTTTGAATGGTTAGATCAAAGATATGCCAATGCACAAAACACACACACACACACATATAACAGAGTTACAGAAACGTTATTTTCAGTTGCTCAAAAAACATCTATTTTTCTTTAAAATATATTTTCATTTAAATCATGCTCTCAAGAAATAAAAATAAGCAGACTTCTTTAAAAGTAACATAGTTGACTTATTCACAATCTTCCTGTATTCAGCATACAGGTACTTCACTTATCAGTCCAGTTACAGATAGAATTTGAAGTAGTTTCTCTGTGCAGATAACACACAGGGCATTATTTCTTATAATCAACAGTCCAAAGTCCAAAGCATCTCTCTATTCTGAGATTCTAATAGAGCCTCAGTCTAGTCTGAAAGTCCAATGGAGTCTGATGGCATTTGTTCAGCATTCCATTCCTATTGACTTCTAAAAGCATACATCTGTTTCTACATTGAAATCTCTAAGCATACAATTTTGATCACATGGCCTGTAGCCAAGGGTGGGTGGGGGGTTAGGGGATCAATCCCCCCCCCCAAACATTTTCAGGTCAAAAAAACCTGGTTTATTCATGAATTTTAACTGGTTAACCAAATCCCCATGCTAAGTATTTAAACGAATCCCTCCAGAACTGCAAGCACTATCTCTAGCAAATTTCGACAATTTATTCACACTGCCATTACTTGCAGCAATAGCTGATGTAGTGGAAGCAACCAAGTTATGGTCCACACATAACCGGCAGGCAATGTTGTATGTCAGCCTGTTCAGCCCGTGATTGTGTCTGATGATCATGTTGATTTGCATGATGGGAATGGAGATGATGTTCATATTCATATTGAATTTCAAGATGGGAATGAGGATGATGTTCATGTTGCTGTTCCTGAAGGGAATGGGGATGTTGATTCAATTTCTGGGCCAGAGTCTGAGAGGCCAGAGAGGCCTGAGTTGCTGCAAGTGCCTGAACGGAGTTTAAAAGACAGGTCACAGAGGCCTGAGCTGCTGCAAGAGGATTTTCAAGGTCTCCAGCTTCGGAAAGGCTTTGCACTGCAGTTCTCTAATAATGAAGTTGATTTCGAGGTCCCAGGTGCCGAAGTTAATGAGGGGAGCGAAGCCTTGGACAGGAAAAGCTGTTTCGGTAAACAAAGACAGCCCGTACAGCAATTAAGACGCTTGGCTAGACTCCAACAGAAGTTGGATATGAAACCAAAATTAAGAAAGAATCCATTCCTAGCTGTTTGGGAATTAGGGCAGGGTTTATAAATGACTAGTGAGAAATATTGCTTCAGTTGAAGCAAGGTCAGATTAATATCAAGTTTCTCTTAGTACATGGTTATCGTATGGAATATGTTTCTGTTCTGCTCATGGATTCAAATGCCTAAGTTCATAGATTTTTTTTTACTTTTTGCTCCTGTCTTCTTTTATATCAATTTGATTACTTTTTACTGTGAATTACCTTTTCCTGCTTTGGTTTTTTATATACTTAAATAAACTGCTGATTTACCCAGCTGGTGTGGTGTTTAAAGTCAGAGGTGATTCTGCTCTGGAGTGCGACAGGCAAAGCCTAGGGCAAGGGGGGGGGGTTTGACGGCCCTCATGAAGGAGACCAGACTTGGTGGAAGCTGCTGACAGGGATAGAGCTGCAGGCTCCATTTTATTCAGACCTCATGTCAGTAAAACATCAAAAAACAAAGATTATGGGAACAAGAATGATTGACAACTGGGAAATAGAGGGAGAAAACGTGGAGGCATTTCTAGGTGCAAAGATTACTGTAGACGCAGACTGCAGCCAGGAAATCAGGAGACACTTACTTCTTGGAAGGAGAGCAATGACCAATCTTGAAAAAATAGTGAAGAGACATCACACTGGCAACAAAGATTCGCATAGTTAAAGCAATGGTATTCCCCATAGCCACCTACGGATGTGAGAGCTGGACCATAGGGAAAGCTGAACGAAGGAAGATACATGAGTTTGAACTGTGGTGTTGGAGGGAGGTTCTGAGAGTGCCTTGGACAACGAGAAGATCAAACCAGTTCATACTTCAAGAAATAAAGCCCGACTGCTCATTGGAGGGAAAAATAGTAGAGGCCAAGGTGAGATGATAGTCTTTAGGCACTGTACCAGTGTGCCGATCACCACTGGGACCACCTTGACTTGCTTGTGCCAGAGTCTTTGCAGTTCGAACTTTAAATCCTCATATCGTGTCAGCTTTTCCAGTTGTTTCTCTGCAATCCTGCTGTCACCTGGGATTGCGACATCGTTGAACCATACTTTGTTTTTTAACACAATGGTGAGGTCTGGAGTATTGTGTTTCAAAACTCTGTCTGAATCCAGAAGTCCCAGAGGAGTTTGGCGTGTTCATTCTCTGTAACTTTTTCCGGCTTGTGATCCCACCAGTTCTTTGTCGCAGGCGGATAGTATTTGTGGCACAAGTTCCAATGAATCATCAGAGCAACGGTGTACTACTATTATTATTATTATTATTATTATTATTATTATTATTATTATTACTAGCTGTACCTGCCACATGTTGCTGTGGCCAACTTCCTTCTTTATCTCTTTCCTTCTTCCCCCTTTTTTTCTTTCTCTTCTGCTGTTTCTCTTTTTCCTTCTCTCTTTCTCTTTCCTTCCCTCCCTCTTTCTCTACATTTTCCCCCCTTCCTTCACTCCCTCTTTCCTTCCTTCTTCCTTTTTTCTTTCTCCTCTCCTTCCTTCTTTCCTTCCTCCTTTTCTTTCCTCCTTTTCTCTTTCTTTCCCTCCTCTCTTCCTCCTTCCTTTCTTCCTTCCTTCCTCCTTCCTTCCTTCCTTCCTTCCTTCTGCTTCCATGCTTCCTTTTCCTTCCTTCTTTCTTTCTTCTTCCCTCTTTCTTTTCTTTCTTCTTTTTCTTTTTTCTCTCCCCTTCCCTACCTCTTTCTTCCCTTTTTCTGTATTGTCATTTAGCTTTTTGTCATTTAGCCTTTTGGGGCTTTTTAAGTCCCTTCTGCTGTGTTTTTCAGTGTTTTTATGAGTGAAAGACACACATTGGGTTGTTAGGTGTATTGTGTCCAAATTTGGTGTCAATTCATCCAATGGTTTTTGAGTTCTGTTAATCCCACAAACAAATACTACATTTTTATTTATATAGATTATGCCATGTCTCCATGCTGTGCAGTCTTGAGAGTTATAGTTTCCCAAGATCCACACCCTTCTCTGTGGGGTGGGGGGGGGGGGGAGGGGGAGAGGGAGCATCTGACATTTCAAAGAGAGGAGGCTTTCCCCCCCACAATGAAGATACCGGAGGAGGAATGGTGGGCGGGACCAACGCCTTGCAATATGATGATAACTGTACTGAAAGAATAATACTGAAATAATACTGAGTAACACAGATAGATTTAACAGTGTGAGGAAGATAGGGAAATCATTTATTTTTCAAAACTGAGTCAGACTGAGCAGTTCTCTACTAAACACTTCCGAGTGTCAATGTGATGAAGTGGCCGGTGAGACACCAGCACTCTTTGGTGGAAAAGTCAACAAGCTTTTTTACTGCTCTATATACACTGAAACAAAGGAAAAATGCAGCCTGTTTCCATAGCTTAAAAATCACTAGAGGTGTGAAGTTATGGATTCTTAAAGGGAAGGAAATATTCCCCATTTTTGATTGCCTCTTTTACTCTGGATCATGGCCCTTCGATTCTCACCAAAAAAAAAGTAGCAGTGAAAAATATGTAACTCATTGGGATGAGACTTTCATCTTTCAAAATTCAGTTCTCTCCTTCCTAAGATAAGTCTTTGTCTGGGTTTCGCAATTTTCGGTTAGCCATCTGACCCTCCAGTGTGGAATATGGTTGCTTGAAACAATGATTTACTAGGGTAAGGGGCTCCCTCTTGAGCAATTACATACATTTCAAGAGAGGAAAAAGCCAAAGAGCACAGCGGATCTCAGCCACTGGAAGGAAAACAAGTAAGAGAACTAAAGATTTCTTAGATATCTTGTCTATCGAGAGTGTGTTTTCTTGCATGGCAGGGGGTTGGACTGGATGGCCCTTGGAGATCTCTTCCAGCTCTAGGATTCTAGATCAGGAGAAGGCAATACGGGTCTAATGGATACACTTTCCCCTCCCGTCCACCATCTCATCCTGACCAAGGCCAAACCTTTAGGGATCCAAACGTTTGCTGTCTTTCCTTCATTTTCTGCCTCCGAAAGAGAAGAGGAAGGGGAGGAAAGGGCAGGGAGGGGACTTAGGGAGAACCCCACTTTCCTGACCCACTAAGATTATAGGTCGAGTAACAGATAGAGGGCCCTTTTCTATTATACAATTGGAATGCTGCGATTCTCTTTTAAATGCAGTGGTTTCATCCTATGGGATACTGGGATCTTCTGCAGTTTAGAGGGTGCTGTACTTAAATTTTCTACCAAAGAGCTGCAGTGGTTAATTAGTCTTATGATAAATTAGAGGATGAATTGATTTCAGTTAGAATAAAACCATAATGATATATATTTGTGCATTGCAAGGCAAAGGGGATAAAAGAACGCAGAAGATCTGTAAAGAGACAAAGGCCCCTTCTTTTAAATGTGTCACTGTGTCATTGTTTTTATTGTTCTAATGCTTTGCTTGATGTTTTTATTTGCTTATGACTTTTATTGTGTATGTGTATGTTATTGTTTGTTGGCGGCCTTGGCCTTTGTAAGCCGCATCGAGTCCTTTGGGAGATTTTGCGGGGTATAAATAAAGTTAATAATAATAATAATAATAATAATAATAATAATAATAATTCTACACGATCATATAATCCAGTTCATAGAATCATAGAATCATAGAATCAAAGAGTTGGAAGAGACCTCATGGGCCATCCAGTCCAACCCCTGCCAAGAAGCAGGAATATTTCATTCAAATCACCCCTGACAGATGGCCATCCAGCCTCTGTTTAAAAGCTTCCAAAGAAGGAGCCTCCACCACACTCCGGGGCAGAGAGTTCCACTGCTGAACGGCTCTCACAGTCAGGAAGTTCTTCCTAATGTTCAGATGGAATCTCCTCTCTTGTAGTTTGAAGCCATTGTTCCGCGTCCTAGTCTCCAAGGAAGCAGAAAACAAGCTTGCTCCCTCCTCCCTGTGGCTTCCTCTCACATTTATACATGGCTATCATATCTCCTCTCAGCCTTCTCTTCTTCAGGCTAAACATGCCCAGCTCCTTAAGCCGCTCCTCATAGGGCTTGTTCTCCAGACCCTTGATCATTTTAGTCGCCCTCCTCTGGACACATTCAATATCTCTCTTGAATTGTGGTGCCCAGAATTGGACACAATATTCCAGATGTGGTCTAACCAAAGCAGAATAGAGGGGTAGCATTACTTCCTTAGATCTAGACACTATGCTCCTATTGATGCAGGCCAAAATCCCATTGGCTTTTTTTGCCGCCACATCACATTGTTGACTCAAAGCAGGTAATCTGGATTTTATATGGCAGTGCAGAAGGGGCCAAATTGAAAAATGAATATATACGATACTTCATATTTGCATCATCCTGAAAGATGTGGATCGGAGGCATTTGCTACACAGGGGTGGCAAAGTAAACACAATGTATTCTCATTATCTTTTCTGCACTTGCGCTTTGCTACTGTGCTGCAGAATACGCATGCTCAATGTGGAATACATCTCACTACGTTAAAACAGTGGAGGTGGCTCTTAATGAGACATGCTGCATTATCACAGGATGCCTATGCCCCACGCCACTGTAGAAATTATACTGTTTGGCTGGTATTGTACCACCTGACATTTGCTGGGAAGTAGCAGCCACTAATGAAAGAACCAAGGCAGTGAAATCTCTGACCCATTCACTGTTTGGATATTTGCCAGAATGTCAATGCCTTAAATCAAGAAATAGTTTTCTAAGATCTACAAAGATACTCACAGAAACACCTCAGCAAGCAAGAGTCCAAAAGTGGCAGACGAAAACTCAGAACCTCAATCAGTGGATGATACCAGATGAGATGCCCCCCCCCGGACACACAGGAGACTGGGCAACCTGGAAGGCACTGAAAAGACTGCGCTCTGGTGCCACGCGATACAGAGCTAACTGTAAGAAATGGGGCCACAAAGTGGAATTCATGACATGCAAGTGTGGAGAAGACCAAACCACAGACCACCTATTACAGTGCAGTCTGAGCCCTGTCACGTGCAAAATGGAGGATCTTCTTATAGCAACACCAGAGGCACTCCAAGTGGCCAGCTACTGGTCAAAGGACATTTAGCATAAAGCCAAGTTTTTAAAAACTTTGTGTTTTATATTACATCACAACTGTACCCCCAGTTTGGTTCTGATACAATAAATAAATAAACCTTTTCTCCGCTACCAAGGGATGGATCCTAAACCTAAGGGTTGGAGACTGGTGAAGATCGAAGGAGTCCCCTTGGCTGAGTTAACTGCGAAGAACTGGAATCAAATAAAAGACTTCCAAGCTCGGCCTGATGATGTTCTCATCTGCACTTTCCCCAAAGCAGGTAAATATACAGAAAAATAAGAAGCATTGATGTATCTGAGGGGAGAAAACAATAGAGATAGACATATAAAAGACTATTGATTGAATGCTGAGATTTTCATGTCTCTTTTTTCCCCATTCCTATTTTGGCAGGAACCGCCTGGATCCAGGAAATTGTGGAAATGATCCTGCATGGAGGTGATTCACAGAAATGTGATCAGCTTCCCATCTACCAACGGAGTCCCTTCTTAGACCTGTTCCTTCCAAAACCCCTTCTCTCAGGTGCGTAGAGTAACTCCTTCCTGGAGCAAGAGGAGAAGACATAGGGTTACCTTGTCTGGGGCTGAATGTAACTCTGTTTCAGGTGTCAAAGAGGCAGAGGAAATGCCCTCCCCACGGATCCTGAAAACTCACCTGCCGGCCAAGCTCTTGCCACCTTCTTTCTGGAAGCAAAATTGCAAGGTGAGGACAAGTTGCATGAGGTTAATGGGGGTTCAGAGTTTAATGTATGTTCACTTCTTTTGACAGAATACTAAGTTTGACTCCTGCTTGGCCATGGGGTTCATTTGTAGCACCCTGGTCCTGCTCCAGAATAAATAATGAAATAAACAGAAGGAATATCTGAGTGCCAGCATAATGTTACGAATTTTTGCAACTTTTGCATATTTGTGATGTATTAATTTCACTACAACTCTGGAGACCAGGATTCAATGTCTTGTTTGGACATGGAAACTAATTGGGTGGACAAGTCATAGACTGCTTCCAGACAGCCCTTTATCCCAGGTTCCTGGGGCCTGTCCACACCCACCCCAGAAAGTGCGTGCTTTTTTGGTGGTTGTCCAGATGTTCTTCTGGGACTAGTCCAGCAGAACACTTGGAGACCCTACCCCCCTCCCTCACAGCCCTCAAACACCTTTTAAAAGTAAAATAAACTTACCTCCTTCTCCCCCCCCCCCCTCGCTCTCCTGGCATGCCATTTCTACATGCCGGGAGAGCTCCAGCAAGACTGTGGGGCTGTGGGGTGCTGGGATTTCCACAGTTTTCCAGACTAATTTAATACAGAAAACTGTGGAATGGGGTATGGACTGCAGTCCAGACACCGGAAGTAGTGAGTTTATCCTGCGCCTTCCAAGAAGGTGTAGAATAAATCCACTATCTAATTAATTCACCACAAACCAGGGTTTTCCTGGTTATGAATCTTTTAAATAATAATAGTATAAAAATAGACCCAAAAGCACAGTGGAGTGGTGATTAAACTTATTATTTGTTTTGAGGTCCACTCAGAGGTTTTTTGTTTGTTTGGGTTTTTTTTTTTTGCAAGATTTATACAGAAAAGCTTTACTACTGGCTTTATCTGAAGCTGAGAGAGTCTGACTTTTCAGTCACTCAGTAGTTGCATGGGGATTTGAATCCTAATCTCCCAGAGTCTTAGTTCAGCACTGAAACCATTGCAACATGCTGGCTCTTGTCTTTTATATATCATTTCTCAAAGGAGCTGACAGCACAGTTTCCTGAGATGCATTAAATGGGAAATACTAAATGATATATACAGGCAGTTTTGGAAGAACGGCATTCACGACCTTTTTGAAAGAAAAAATGATGTCATATCCTTTTGGCAAATATGAATCTTTGTGAAAATCTGGAGACCACCTTTTGAAAACCAATAATCAAGGAAAGGCATGACCTTGTTAAAAGTCAGCCCTTTGAAAAGTATTCACAAGTATTCATGTAATCGCATACAGGTCACTCAGCCATTAAACTGATAAATCATGTCTTTTAACTGCCAGGAACAAAGACATGCAACTGCACAAAAACATGTACTTGGCTAGCAGAGTTTTAAAATGTTTCTTTAAAGTTGAAACTGCAGTTGTCCAAAACATATATTCTCCCTTGAAACCTCTTAGTTTAAAAATATGCACTCAGAGACAAAAAACAAAGTCTTCTTTAAAAAGTATCTTGTTTACTCATAAACATATTGTATTAATTCAGAATTCATGCATATTTCTTATTAAGGTTCAGTTACATATAGGATGTAGTTTCTCTGTGTTGAGAACACAGGGCATCATTCTTAATAGTCCACAGTCCAAAGTTTTTAAGTATACATCTTATGAAAGTCGAAACTGTATAACAGTACTCACTGCTTCTCAAACCAAACATATAGTAAACTGTTCCAGCATAAGTCCAAAATAACATCTGTTTCCATTGAAGTCCAGAACAATACTGCATCCACTGAGGTCTAAAGCAAACAGCTAACACTGAAGTCCAAAAGCACACAGATGATAAATTGGAGCCTTGAGTATGAATATGCTCAGTACAATCAAATGTCTGTAGCCCCTCCCACCCCAAAGACGTCAGTCAAAATGGCAAATCAATATATACATACAAAACAGGTTAGCAAATATATACATTAACAAACAAATAGAGAAGGCTTGGAAGGTTGCTATTTCCAACAGGCAGTTTCCACGTTACAAACAAGATAGGTTCTGTAGGTTTGTTCTTAAGTTGAATTTGCATGTAACAGGTACATTTTTAAAGTGTAACATTCACACACACATATAAGCTCTGAGTAACATAGGGAAGGGTTACCCTGCCATGTGATGTTTGCTTTGCTGCCTGCGCCCCTATTCAGAAAATTTCATGGCATTTTCTGTCCCTAAGATAATTGGATTTTGAGACAAATGACTTGCTGTGGAAACAAGGATTTATGGGAAAGCTTCAGGGAAGACACCTTTTCCCCAGGATAACTCTTTTACGGGTGAATTTCCCTTCCAAGGGGTAGATTTCTCTCACTTCATGTTATCTCACTCCCGTTCTTAACTATGAAGCTTTGTAATTCAGATGTTTGTAACTTGAGGACTGCCTGTGCTTCCAAACTGACCTATTTCTGATTCCTTTGTGAAATAATGTAAGTATATCATTCTGGGCCATTGTAGCACCTCGATACAATTTTAAATCTCACTGCTCCATCCTATTGACGAGAAGGAATTATAAGATTTGCAGAATTCTGGAGCTTGTGGTTTGGAGACATACTGAGAATTCTCTACTACAAAGTTAGTAGCAAGTTCCAGGAAAATTAATTAGAACTCTCTATCAGAAAACTACAAATCACCAACCACAAATGACCCATCACCAATCAAAAGATTCCATAATGTGCAGTCACACCCAGACATTATAAAGTTAAAACTAAGATATGCTTCTCTCTTTATCCGGGTAAATTGCGGGTGCCTTACTTAGAAACTCTGGATTCTCAGCAACTGAGGCCAGTCCAGATTTGAACATCAAACAGAACATTTATTTCTCAAAGTCCTTGACAGATTTGGCACAGCTTGTTCATCTCATCTCATCTTTAATTACTTATTAATCACTCTCCATCTGAGATGCTCCAGGCGATTTACACTGCAGAAATTACACAGGATAAAACACATACATACAAATATTAAAATTAACATGAGTCAAATGCTCCAGTAAAAAGCCAGGTCTTAAGCGCCAGGACAAAACGCCCCAAGTCGTGCATGGCTCTCAAATAGGGAGGCAAGGAATTCCACAAGGCAGAGGCAGAAATAGAGAAGGCCCTGCGTCTGGTGCTTTCCAAGTGCACTTCCCTAGGACCCGGTATATAAAGCAGATCGCGTTGGGATGGTCGTGGCGACCTCCGATGATGGTAGAAGGAGAGACAGTCTCTAAGATACAATGGACCCTGGCCATATAAAGTTTTAAAGGTCAGGACCAGCATCTTATACAAACCACGATACTCAATTGGGAGCCAGTGTAGATGCCGCAGCACTTGTGTTATATGGCATGTCATGGGCGTTTTTGTGAGTAACCTGGCTGCAGCATTCTGGACAATACGGAGCTTTCGGGTTGTAGAAATAGGAAGGCCAACATACAAGGCGTTACAATAGTCCAGCCTAGATGTGACCGTGGCATGGATGACTGTTGCCAAAGCCTCATCCAACAGGTAAGGTGCCAGTTGCTTCGCTTGTCGTAGATGGAAAAAGACCTGTTTGCTGGCAGCAGCGACCTGAGCATCCATCGTCAGCTGCGAATCCAAATCGACACCTAGGCTCTTAACGGTAGGGGATGGAGATAGAGCAGCGCCATCAAAGGTAGGTAACGGATGGGTCGGACCTATCAGGCAGCCATGCCACAGGATCTCAGTCTTCGCCGGATTCACCTTCAGTCTGCTAGCACGTAGCAAGTTCGACAAAGCCTCCAGGCATAAGGTGAAATTGTCAGGTATTGACGTTACTCCAGGCTCCAAGCGCAACAGGAGTTGGGTGTTGTCCGCATATTGATAACAGTCCAGGCCGAATCTCCGAACCAAACTGGCAAGGGGTCTAACGTAGATGTTGAAAAGAAGTTACAGATGTTGTTGAAGTTACAAACACAAACAGTCAACTTGTGAAATTATATAGATGTTCCTTCCTTTCTTTTTTCTTCAGCTGCTGAGTTAACGTTCCCCAACGCTAGAAAAATCCTGGGATTCTTTACCCTAACCCTGAGCTGCTATTTTTAGAAAGAGCAGGTCTTTCCCTATCTAAGCTCAAGATTAGTTTGGGGGTGAAGTAATGGAGCCTCTCCCAATGGCAGAGAAATCCTGAGATATTCTCTGCCCCAGTGCTGAGCTGCTATCTTTTAGAAAGAGCAGGTCTTCCCCTATCTGAGCTCAGCACCAGTTTCAAAGGCAAGAGGGTAAGTACTCACGATGGCCTGTCTGAGCTGCCTAGCTTGACCACAAGAACATCTGAGGCTTTTTCTAAACTGAAGAAGGCAGGAGAGCTTTTCTAAAATGAAGATCTCATCCCTAGGAAAAAGGGCGGTCTCTAGATACTTTTTAAAACCAATAACAGCAAAAGGCTTTTGCAGGCTGGCTTTAAGCCCCTGTTAATAGTTAACTTTCAGGGTGCTCCTGAGACTGTAGCAACCCTGGGAGAAATGCAAAAGGATGCAATTTCATGCAACTAAGGGGCAATGCAAACCAAGCTCCTGAAAGACGGAGCACATAAGATGAAGCCATTATGGTTAAAGTGATATACAGCTGAAATAAATGAGCAATGTGGATGCACCCTGGTGTAATGTTAAGATAAGGGGCAGGAGGTGGAGGTAAAATACATTTCTAACATGTTGCTCCCCAGGTGTCTTAAGCTGCTAGTAAGTTTCATCATCCTGCACTTGTACGAGGTGGACTGGCTATGGATGATGGGTGGCGCAGTGGGTTAAACCCCTGTGCTGGCAGGACTGAAGGTCACAGGTTCGAATCTGGGGAGAGGCGGATGAGCTCCCTCTACCAGCTCCAGCTCTTTATGCGGGGACATGAGAGAAGCCTCCTACAAGGATGATAGAACATCAAAACATCCGGGCGTCCCCTGGGCAATGTCCTTGCAAACGGCCAATTCTCTCACCCCAGAAGCGACTTGCAGTTTCTCAAGTCTCTCCTGGCATGAAAAAAACTGGGAGTTTTAGTTCAGTAACTCAGAAGGATGCTAAGATATGGAAAGATTGAATTCCAAGTCTTCTTAATTTTACTGTCTTACCACAGATCATTTATTTGGCCAGGAATATCAAGGATAATGCTGTCTCTTCCTTCTGCTTCCGTCGCATGAACCAGCTTGCTCCCAATCCAGGAGATTGGAACAATTTTTTGGAGAATTTCATTGCTGGGGAGTGTAAGTGGAGAGGTGAAATAAAAGCAAGCAGGAGTATTTGCCAGAATGCATATAGAAGAAAGAATATAGTTTCTGTCACCTTCATTGAGCTCATTTCAACTAGAGAAAATAGATTGCTTCAGAACATTTTTAATTATGTATTTACCAAAATTTCCATGTGTAAGGCGATAGGACAGACAAGCATGCCCATCTCATGAGTAACACAATGGATAGCTTGGAGTTCAAAAAATGCTCTAAAGAAGGATATGACATTGACGCAATTTTAGAGAGAGCTTATGAATTGATTTTCATTTCTGGGAAGGATAAGTAATGAAAAGAGAGAACATTTCACCAGAATACTACTGTAATTTGTTCTAGTTAGGTGCTCACATAGTTACCTTGGGGCCATCCCAGATAATAGACTCCTACCACCAAGAGATAGACCTCCACAATGTAGAGTTGAATTGCGTTTGGTCAAACATTTCACCTCCCTCCATGTTAATGTCAGTCTAAAATTAAGGAAGAAGAAGGGACCAGTTATAGGGTCCCCTGGTGGCACAGCAGGTTAAACCGCCGAACTGCTGAACTCACTGACAGAAAGGTTTGCAGTTCGAATCTAGGGAGCGGGGTGAGTTTCTGCTGTTAGACCCAGATTCTGCCAACCTAGCAGTTCGAAAACATGCAAATATGAATAGATTAGTAGGTACATTCTTCTGCGAGAATGTAATGGCGCTCCATGCAGTCATGCTGGCCACATGACCTTAGAGGTGTCTACGGACAAGGCTGGCTCTTCAGCTTAAAAATGGAGATGAACGCCAACCCCAGAGTCAGACATGACTAAACTTAATGTCAGGGGAAACCTTTACCTTTATCTTTACCGGTTATATGGTACACAATGCCAGTATGGCTTTATTATTTCCTTTCCAACTGGGAAACATTACTTTGGCGAAATAATTGAGATGGATCAAGTTGCCATGCATCACTTACTAGTTTGTCTTTCAATGCAGGGACGTATGGCTCGTGGTTTGACCATGTTTGTGGTTGGTGGGAAGCTAAAGACCACTATCCAATTCTGTACCTGTTCTATGAGGACCTGAAAGAAGTAAGCACCTCTTCTTCCTCACAAATAAACAAGCACACACCAAGATTGTACTTTCCATAAACGAGACTCTTAAAATTTGTCTCTCCAGTGGGGTCATTAGGGTTGGTGCCATCCAGCGTGATATTATTATTTTGTGTCAAAAGCATTGCATAAATTAGTATAAAACTGATAAAAATAGAAGGAGCACAAGTGGCTGCATTGTCTGTAGCCTCAAACAATTCTTCCTCTGTCCATGAGGCAGGACAAGGTGGACAAGCATACAGATGTGGTAGGGCTGGGCGGTTTCGTTTCGTTAATTCATAATTCGTTAATAATTCGTTAATTTTTTTAATTACAAAACGATAACGAACCATTCTGGAGCAATTTTTTAAAAAAACGAATTTTTAAACACGTTTTGTAAATGCTTCGTATTTCGTTATTGTATTCGTTTCGTTATTGTTCTGAGGTCGTTTCGTTATTATTTCCGCATGTCTGGGGCAAGTTTTTTGTTTAATTAGTGAAAAAAAATTATAATATCACACCAACAGTCAACAACAGAGGGAGAGGGAAGCTTCAGAAGTTTTTGGAGGTTTTTTAGCGTATTTCGCGGTCGCATCCGCCATTAACGAATCGATTCGTTATTGTTTCGGAAATCGATTCGTTAATGTTTTGTAATTTTTTTTCACATTTACGAAATTTCGTAAATATCGAACTTTTTAAAAGGAAAATTTTGTAATTATTTTAAATAACGAAACGCAAAAACCCCCAAAAAACGAATCGATTTTAGAAACAAATTTTTCCGTTGTTACCCAGGCCTAAGATGTGGCGTAGTCTGTTCTGCTCCACAGTTGCACAAGGTGGAGAATTCATCTTGCCGGGTTGTCTTTTGATCTGCCCACTCCACTTCTGAATCTGTTTGGGGGGCTTCCAAGTTGCCCATTCTTTGTTTGTCCCTGGAGGAAGACTCTSGGGGGAGGAGGGGCATCCAATTGGGATTTCCTGGTTTAGCTGCCTAGAGGGATGCTCTTGCTGTTGCTGGGGGAAGGTTAAGAGRARTGGYGGTTCTCATGAAGCTTTTCCTTTATTTGAGTCTACTGGGAGGATGCTGATAGCCATGCAGTGGATGGCTTTCACAGTGTTCAATCTTATTTCTCTCACAATTAGCAGCAATTTCCCATCACACATTGGGGGGGGGGGGCAATGCCATCTAGCTTRTAGAGATTATCAGCAGGTGTAGGTTTAAGACATYCATCTGCATGTTTCATTCAATGATGTCTTCACCTGCTTCGCGTGGGCAGACTCGTGCCAAACAGGGCAGGCATACTCAGCAGTTGAGTAATCAAGGCCAGGGCTGATGTTCTTACTAATTTTGGGTCTGCACCCCATGCACTGCCAGTAAGTTTCCACAGGATGTTATGCATGCAGCTGTTTTGTGCTTGGTGTTCATGCAGTGTTTCTTATATGGTAGTGTTCAACCTAAGGTGACACCAAGATATTTAGGATGGAAACAATGATCAAGTTCTTGACCTTCAAGAGCTCATGGTGTCACCATTACAACCCACTCCCAGGCCAGACCAGACCAAGCTACCGTATTGTAGAAAAAATATCAGAATCTTTAAGCATCCTTACCACCCCACATCCTTTTGAATGAATTTAAATGTAGTCACGATTAAGGTTGGATCTTGACTGCCCTATATCTTAGAATCTGATCCCAGATTATCTGTTTTGAACTGGATTATATAAATCTACACTGCCAGATAATCTGGGATAAATGGATAATCTGGGGTCAGATCCTGGGATAAAGGCAGTGCAGATCAAGCCTAACTTACATTAACATTCAGTGGGTCTAATTTAAGTGTGCTGATTTGAGCATTGGAGAATGAGTCTGGACAGCAAGGTCTAAATCCCTACTCAGCCATCAAAATCCACTAGGCTAGCTTGGGCAGGTCACACATTTTTAATTTCAGAAAACCACATTATAAGGTTTCCATAAATTAGAAATGACAACAGCAACTGGCTAAATTGGGGCTGTCTCCCTTTCATGCTACCTCTACTACACTAGTATTGAAGTCTGATTTATAAGGAGATTCAATAATGCAAATTAATGTTCCAAGGGATCCTAATTCTGGCAACAGAGCTCACGAATCAAATGAAGTTCAGAAGAGATTTAGAATCTATAATACTGAGATTTCAGTCAGTCTGACATTCCTTTCCCAAAGCAGAACAGGAAGCCCAACTCAATACACTTCCTCTCATATCTTTTTTTTAAAAATCTGATTTCAGAACCCAGCCCAGGAAATCGGGAAAGTAGCGCGGTTCTTGGGTGTAGAACTCTCAGAATTGGTTCTGAGCCAGATTGTGGAACACACCGCATTCAAGAGCATGAAAGTAAACCCAATGACCAATTTCTCCACCCTGCCTTCCTCTATCCTGGACCACACGGTGTCGTCATATATGAGGAAAGGTAAGGACCAACGTGATCAATTGAAGCCATGCCTGAAGCAGTGAGTCCATGTTGTTGTTCTTGTTACATCAGCTGACTAGAGAATCTTGACTTAGAATTCCCAATTAAGCCATGTATCACAAAACAAAAAATAGAGCCTGGTTGATGATTCTGGCCTGTCATGGGAAAACAAGCCAGAATCTCCAATTTGGATGATGCACAGCTAAGCAAATAGTCCATGGTTTGCTTCATGATGGCAAGTAGAAACATACTTATTCCAAGTAAGGCAGGATTCCCTGTAACATGGTTCTGATCCCAGATTATCTTTTTATCCCAGATTATCTGGCAGTGGAGACTCAGGGTGCTTCCATACAGCACTAAATCACGGGTTTTAAACAGGGGCAAAAAATCCCGAGACTTCAGAAGAGGTCCACATACAGACCTGTTGGTCCTGGGATTTCTGCCTCCATTGTCCAGACTTGATGTTTTGTTGTGGTTTTAAACGGCTCCCAAGATGACCACCGCGGGACTTCTGCTGTAAACTTCTGCAGTTTTTTTAAAAAACATCAAGATGCGGATATTTGGATAATCATAGCAGCAAATCACTGCAAAAGTTCTGTTCTTTGCCCTGGCCAGAGAAACTGTGCCCTCCAGATGTTTCATGAACTATTTGCCACACATACAATGTTTACAGGGTAGGACCACTTCTGCCCAAGTCAGCACCACACAAACAAACAGGAACACACAGTTTCAAGCCAGGAACAGAACTTTGTCATTAGTGACACTTTTTTGAACCTGTCTGCCTGGCCATCTGTCCAGGCAGGTTCGGTTGTTTACTTGTGACATCAAACAACAGGGTGTTGTACCTGGGTTATACATGTCTGTTCCTGATTGCTCTTCTTGTGAAAAGATGTACAACATTGACTAGAGAAAATGTGCTCTCCAAGCATTTCATGAAGTTTCTCGCACAAAACTGAAGTTTTTGCTTTCTGTTCAAGTGTCACCTTCTTTTTAGGAACTGACTGATGAGGAACAAACACCTAAAACCTGGGAATAAACCCAGATAGAAAATCCCATGATTTCCGATTGCAGGGACATATAGACATGCAAAGATCTGAATATTCGGCTCAAAACTGCAATATTCCAGCACCTGGAAATCTGGCATTTTTTGCCTTTTGTAGCGATTGCTTCCATGTTGACAGGGAATGGCCTCTGATCACCCTCCTGTTTGTTGCGGAAGCTCCTGGGATAAAGTTACTGTCTGGATGGGCCCTCATGTAATCCAGTTTAAAGCAGATAATCTGGGATCAGAACCTGGGATATAGGGCATTGTAGAAGGGGCCTCTGCCAACACTGTTTAATTCTTGTTTCCCACAGTAGGAAAGGATCAGATTAATAAACAACTGCAATCTCTCCACTGGAAAAAAAAAACCTTTAAGCAAAACTTCTGTCTTCAACCTCAAACCTGATATTGAGAAGGTGTAGCTGGTACAGGAAGCCCAAAGTGAATAGACTGAATACATGAAATCATAGATAGGCGAAAGCATGTATATCAGTTCTCTAGATATGGAGGCTGTAAGGTACAGATTGCTGGATTGAGCTACTTTCATTGTTTTCCTTACTTCCAGGAACCGTAGGAGACTGGAAGGAGCACTTGACGGTGGCTCAAAGTGAACGTATTGATGACATCTGTGCTCAGAAGTTGAAGGACAGTGGATTGATCTTTCGCACTCAACTATAATCCCACCTCAGTGTTGGCTGTCCAGGCGTTCCACTCAAAGTCACTGGATTTTATATGGCAGTGTAGAAGGGGCCACAGTACACACTGTACGAAGTAGCTGTTGCTTTCCATATATCCGTTTAGAAGTTTCGGCATCACATGTGTTAATATCATTTTCCATTTGATCCTTTGGTTACCTTTCTATTGACCAAAAAATAATTACCTTTGCTTCCCCCCCCCCCGGGCTAGACCTGGTGTAGGCATAGTAATGTAGGCATTGCTATCACTTATCTTCTGTTTGCCAAGCTGAATTGCTTGTTTGTGAACGACACTGCAGTCTCACATTTCCCAATAAACAACCAGAAGTAGGTTTACAATTCTAGAATTTTTTTACACTGTTTCTGGCCAATTTTAATATTTATAGAGAGTTTGAAGAAAGGTTGGACATTATTTTGCTGCATAACGACACTCCAGACACAATCCAGGCAGCACTTGGAGCCATTATATCAGTGTTTCTCAACCTGGGGGTCGGGACCCCTGGTGGAGTCAGGAGTGGGTGTTAGAGGGGTCGCCAAAGATAATCAGAAAACAGTATTTTGTTGGTCATGGGGGTTCTGTGTGGGAAGTTTGGCCCAATTCTAACGTTGGTGAAGTTCAGAATGTTCTTTTATTGTAGGTGAACGATAAATCCCAGCAACGACAACTCCCAAATGTCTATTTTCCCTACACCCCTCCAGAGTTCACATTTGGACATTGATTTTCATGCCAAGTTTGGTCCAGATCCATCACTGTTTTGAGTCCACAGTGTTCTCAGGACGTAGGTGAACTACAACTCCAAAACTCAAGGTCACTGCCCACCAAACCTTTCCAGTATTTTCTGTTGGTCATGGGAGTTCTGTGTGCCACATTTGGTTCAATTCTATCATTGGTGGAGTTCAGAATTCTCCTTGATTGCAGATGAACTATAAATCCCAGCAACTACAACTCCCAAATGATGGAATCAATCCCACCAGTAATCGAATTTGGGCGTATCGGGTCTTTGTGCCAAATTTGATCCAGTTAATGAAAATATATCCTGCATATCAGATATTTACATTACAATTCATAACAGTAGCAAAATTACAATAGTGAAGTAGTAATGAAAATAATTTTATGGTTGGGCGTCACCACAATATGAGGAACTGTATTGATGGGTCGCAGCATTAGGAAGGTTGAGAACCACTGCATTATATGAATTATTCTTTGTGTTCCATGCACTGAATGTGTAGTCTGGGAGTTTTGTTGGGAAAAGAAGGGTTTGCAGCCTAGGTGCAATCAACAGTCTACTGTACTTCTACCCATAGATTAAGGTACAGTATTTGGAATTGCTAGCCTGTTGCTTCATGAGCTGGCAGGAGTTCTAGCCCAATGTATCTCAAGTTATGTGCTTTGGACTAATAGGAACTGTAGCTGGGTCCCCCCTGAATTGTGTTTATGTGAATGTTTGTTGGTTGAATACGAGTGGGAACTTGGTTTCAAAAGCAGCTACACAGAATCCAGGCCTTGACTTTTACCAATCTGAATGCTCCACTGAAGAAACAAGCAGGGAGAGTTGGAGAGGACTGTAGCCAAACAACTGGGAAAGAAACAAGCTCAAGCCAAAGTTCTCCAGCTGATATTAATCCCAGTTTGCTATTGGATCTCTTTCTCTCTGCTTCCTCCCCTAGAGACAACCCCCTCCTACAATCTGATGAAAGAAAAATAAATAAATAAATAAATAAATAAACGTCTTGTAGGTAGAGATAAAGATGTCACTGAAGTGTTCCTGCTTTCCTTTATTTACCTGCAGTCTGTTCCAGAATTGCCTCCTCATCTTCATGCCTACAAGTCAAAATTCTCAACAGGGAAGAGTTCACCTGGATCCTTCTAAAAAGAAATGTAGCCAGGCTCTTACATTAATTTAGCAGTACCTTTTAGGAACTGGAGCGGGACACCCACCTTCCTGACCTTGCATTTTGGTTTCTCTTTGTTGTTTGATTGTTTTCCTTCCAACAGTAGAACATTGTACCTGGTGATAGTCCATCAAGAGTGAGTAAAAGCTTAGATTTGTTATTGTTCTTGTGTGCTTTCATGACATTTCTGACTTATTGAAACCTTAGGGCAAATCTATCATATACTTGGCAGGATTTGTTTTGAGTGAGTTTGCCTACGTCATCCTCTGAGACTCAGGATGTATGATTTTTACCCACTGAGTGGGTACACTAGAAGACCTTGTAAAATTGCATCCCCATGATTCCATATCATTGAGCCATGGAAGTCGTTCAAGCCACATTAATTCTACAATGCAGATGCACTCCTGTGTCCTAGCCCCATGGTAAGATCTCTACACCATACCGGCTCTGAAAATGGAAATGGATCTAACTTAACACAGTGTTAGGGAGCCAAGGGAAGTAAGCATTAGAAATTATTGCTTAAGATAGAATCCACTCATGTTGTCTTTATTCTAGAGCCCCTTCCACACAGCTGTATAAAATCCCACATTATCTGCTTTGAACTGGGTTATAGAATCGTAGAGTTGAAAGAGGCCTCATGAGCCATCCAGTCCAACACCATTCTGCCAAGAAGCAGGAAAATCGCATTCAAAGCACCCCTGACAGATGGCCATCCAAGCTTCGGTTTAAAAGAAGGAGCCTCCACCACACTCCAGGGCAGAGAGTTCTACTGCTGAACAGCTCTCACAGTCAGGAAGTTCTTCCTAATGTTCAGATGGAATCTCCTTTCTTGTAGTTTGAAGCCGTTGTTCCGCGTCCTAGTCTCCAGAGCAGCAGAAACCAAGCTCGCTCCTTCCTCCCTTTGACTTCCTCTCACATATTTATACATTGCTATCATGTCTCCTCTCAGCCTTCCCTTCTTCAGGCTAAACATGCCCAACTCTTTAAGCCACTTCTCATAGAGCTTGTTCTCCAGACCCTTGATCATTTTAGTCATCCTCCTCTGGACACATTCCAGCTTGTCAATATCTCTCTTCAGTTGGACACAGTGTTTCAGGTGTGGTCTAACCAAGGCAGAATAGAGGGGTAGCACGACTTCCCTGGACCTAGACACAATACTCCTATTGATGCAGGCCAAAATCCCATTGGCTTTTTTTGCCGCCGCATCACATTGTTGGCTCATGTTTAACTTGTTGTCCACAAGGACCCCAAGATCTTTTTCACATGTACTGCTCTCGAGCCAAGCGTCCCCCATTCTGTATCTTTGCATTTCATTTTTTCTGCCTAAGTGGAGTATCTTGCATTTGTCCCTGTTGAACTTCATTTTGTTAGTTTTGGCCCATCTCTCTAATCTGTCAAGATCGTTTTGAATTCTGCTCCTGTCCTCTGGAGTATTGGCTATCCCTCCCAATTTGGTGTTGTCTGCAAACTTGATGATCATGCCTTCTAACCCTTCATCTAAGTCATTAATAAAGATGTTGAACAGGACCGGGCCCAGGATGGAGCCTTGTGGCACTCCACTCGTCACTTCTTTCCAGGATGAAGAGGAAGCATTGGTGAGCACCCTCTGGGTTCGTCCATTTAACCAATTACAGACCCACCTAACCGTAGTTTTGCCTAACCCACATTTGACTAGTTTGTTTGCCAGAAGGTCATGGGGGACCTTGTCAAAGGCCTTCCTGAAATCCAGGTACGCTACATCCATGGCATTCCCCGCATCTACTCAGCTTGTAACTCTATCGAAAAAAGAGATCAGATTAGTCTGGCATGACTTGTTTTGATAAATCCGTGTTGACTAATAGCAATGACCACATTTGTTTCTAAGTGTTTGCAGACCACTTCCTTAACAATATTTTCCAGAATCTTGCCTGGTATCGACGTGAGGCTAACTGGACGGTAACACTTTCCCCCTTCTTGAAGGTTGTGACCACATTGGCCCTCCTCCTTCTCCTGTTCTCCAAGAACTCTCAAAGATGATTGCCAATGGTTCCGAAATGACTTCCACTAGTTCCTTCAGTACTCTTCGGTGTAGTTGATCTGGCCCTGGGGACTTGAACTCATTTATTCCTGGACGCCTTTTTTCCCAATTTGGGGTTGAATGTCCTCTAATCCCTCATCCACACCATCTTGCTGAGGTTGAAGATGGCTTTCTTTTTGTGAGAAGACCGAGGCAAAGAAGGCATTAAGTACTTCTGCCTTTTCCCTATCCCCTGTCAGCATTGCCTCATCTTCTCCTCGACGAGGCCCCATCGCCTCCTTGTTCTTCCTTTTTCTACTGACATAAGAAAGTGAGCCCTTTTTATTGTCTTTAATGTCCCTGGCAAGTCTGAGCTTGTTTTGTGTTTTAGCCTTGCGAACCTTTTCCCTAGAGGAGTTGGCTATTTGTTTGAATTCTTCTTTGGTGGTATCTCCCTTTTTCCACTTCTTGTGCATGTCTCTTTTGAGTCTTAGCACCGTTAGAAGTTCTTTGGACATCCATTCTGGCTTCTTTACACTTGTACTATTTTTTCTCTTTGTTGCACTGTTTGCAATTGCCCCTTGAATATTTCACTCTTGAATAACTCCCATCCATCCATAACTCCCTTGTCTTTTAGTATCTGTGGCCACGGAATTCCGCACAGTATTTCCTTCATTTTTTGGAAGTCAGCTCTCCTAGTCCAAAATGCGGGTTTGACTTGTCTTAGTTTTGATATAATGGTATAGCCTCAAATAACCCAGTTCAAAGCAGATACAGTGTTCCCTCACTTATCGCAGGTGTTACGTTCCAGAACCACCCACAAAAAGTGAAAATCCACGAAGTAGGGATGCTATATATGTATAAGCATTCCGAGGGTGAGTGAGGCAGAAGCGAGGAGAGATCTGAAGGCACCGCAAATGCTTTTTTTTTTTTTGCTAACTATCTCTACTTTGCTTTGCAATCTCTCTTGATTGGCTGCCTCTGTTCCAAGGAGAAGGGTGAAACCTCCTTCCACACTCTATCATTGCCAGGAGGCAGGATTAGAACACCGCTCTGGGCAATGACAACCATTCATAAACTAGGAGGCAAAAACCCACGAAACAGCGAGTCTGTGAAAAGCGAACAGTGAAGTAGCAAGGGAACATTGTATTGTGACTTATCTGCCTTGATATTCTGGGCTATATGGATTTGTGGACCTATGTGATGCAAATAAATCCTGGTTCATTCAAGTACCCAACACTGAATCACGTTAGAGAAGTCAATATGGCTGATTACATTGTAGCAAATGGGAATCTTTGGACCCTTCCACACAGCCTTGTATCCCAGAATATCAAGGCAAAACTCTGTCTGTCTGTCTGTCTGAATCCAGAGGAGTTTGGCGTGTTCATTATCTGTAACTTTTTCCGGCTTGTGATGCCACCAGTTCTTTGTCGCAGGCAGATGGTATTTGTGGCACAAGTTCCAATGAATCATCTGAGCAATGGTGTACTATTATTATTATTACTATTACTAGCTGTACCTGCCACGTGTTGCTGTGTCCAACTTCCTTCTCTATCTCTTTCCTTCCTTCCTCCTTTTTCTTTCTTTTCTGCTGTCTCTATTTTCTTCCATCTCTCTTTCCTTCCCTCCCTCTTTCTCTACATCTTCCCCCTTCCTTTGCTCCCACTTTCCTTCCTTCTTTACCTTTTTTCTTTCCTTCCCTCCTTCCTTCTCTAACTTTCCTTCCATTCCCCTTTTTCTTTCCCTCCCTCTTTCTCTTCTTTCCTCCTTCTCTACCTCCTTCCTTCCTTCCTTCTCTCTTTGCTTCCATGCTTCCTTCTCCCTTTCCTTCTTTCTTTCTCTCCCTCTTTCTTTTCTTTCTTTCTTTTTCTTTTTTCTCTCCCCTTCCCTACCTCTTTCTTCCCTTTTTCTGTATTGTCATTTAGCTTTTCGTCATTTAGCCTTTTGGGGCTTTTTAAGTCCCTTCTGCTGTGTTTTTCAGTGTTTTTATGAGTGAGACACACATTGGGTTGTTAGGTGTATTGTGTCCAAATTTGGTGTCAATTCATCCAATGTTTTTTGAGTTCTGTTAATCCCACAAACAAATATTACATTTTGATTTATATAGATTATGCCATGTCTCCATGCTGTGCAGTCTTGAGAGTTATAGTTTCCCAAGATCCACACCCTTCTCTGTGGGGCGGGGGGGGGGAGGAGGATCACCACTTGCCCTCCCTCCCTGTTTCCTCAATGAAGATACCGGAGGAGGAATGGTGGGCGGGACCAACGCCTTGCAATATGATGAGAACTGTACTGAAAGAATAATACTGAAATAATACTGAGTAACACAGATAGATTTAACAGTGTGAGGAAGATAGGGAAATCATTTATTTTTCAAAACTGAGTCAGACTGAGCAGTTCTCTACTAAACACTTCCGAGTGTCAATGTGATGAAGTGGCCGGTGAGACACCAGCACTCTTTGGTGGAAAAGCTAACAAGCTTTTTTACTGCTCTATATACACTGAAACAAAGGAAAAATGCAGCCTGTTTCCATAGCTTAAAAATCACTAGAGGTGTGAAGTTATGGATTCTTAAAGGGAAGGAAATATTCCCCATTTTTGATTGCCTCTTTTACTCTGGATCATGGCCCTTCGATTCTCACCAAAAAAGTAGCAGTGAAAAATATGTAACTCATTGGGATGAGACTTTCATCTTTCAAAATTCAGTTCTCTCCTTCCTAAGATAAGTCTTTGTCTGGGTTTCGCAATTTTCGGTTAGCCATCTGACCCTCCAGTGTGGAATATGGTTGCTTGAAACAATGATTTACTAGGGTAAGGGGCTCCCTCTTGAGCAATTACATACATTTCAAGAGAGGAAAAAGCCAAAGAGCACAGCGGATCTCAGCCACTGGAAGGAAAACAAGTAAGAGAACTAAAGATTTCTTAGATATCTTGTCTATCGAGAGTGTGTTTTCTTGCATGGCAGGGGGTTGGACTGGATGGCCCTTGGAGATCTCTTCCAGCTCTAGGATTCCAGATCAGGAGAAGGCAATGCGGGTCTAATGGATACACTTTCCCCTCCCGTCCACCATCTCATCCTGGCCAAGGCTAACCCTTTAGGGATCCAAATGTTTCCTGTCTTTCCTTCATTTTCTGCCTCCGAAAGAGATGTGGCGGCAAAAAAAGCCAATGGGATTTTGGCCTGCATCAATAGGAGCATAGTGTCTAGATCTAGGGAAGTAATGCTACCCCTCTATTCCGCACCTGGAATATTGTGTCCAATTCTGGGCACCACAATTCAAGAGAGATATTGACAAGCTGGAATGTGTCCAGAGGAGGGCGACTAAAACGAACAAGGGTCTGGAGAACAAGCCCTATGAGGAGCGGCTTAAGGACCTGGGCATGTTTGGCCTGAAGAAGAGAAGGCTGAGAGGAGACATGATAGCCATGTATAAGTATGTGAGAGGAAGTCATAGGGAGGAGGGAGCAAGCTTGTTTTCAGCTTCCTTGGAGACTAGGACGCGGAACAATGGCTTCAAACTACAAGAGAGGAGATTCCATCTGAACATGAGGAAGAACTTCCTGACTGTGAGAGCCGTTCAGCAGTGGAACTCTCTGCCCCGGAGTGTGTTGGAGGCTCCTTCTTTGGAAGCTTTTAAACAGAGGCTGGATGGCCATCTGTCAGGGGTGCTTTGAATGCAATATTCCTGCTTCTTGGCAGGGGGTTGGACTGGATGGCCCATGAGGTCTCTTCCAACTCTTTGATTCTATGATTCTAAGAGAAGAGGAAGGGGAGGAAAGGGCAGGGAGGGGACTTAGGGAGAACCCCACTTTCCTGACCCACTAAGATTATAGGTCGAGTAACAGATAGAGGGCCCTTTTCCATGATACAATTGGAATGCTGCGATTCTCCTTTAAATGCAGTGGTTTCATCCTATGGAATACTGGGATCTTCTGCGGTTTAAAGGGTGCTGTACTTAATATTTCTACCAAAGAGCTGCAGTGGTTAATTAGTCTTATGATAAATTAGAGGATGAATTGATTTCAGTTAGAATAAAACCATAATGATATATATTTGTGCATTGCAAAGCAAAGGGAATAAAGGAACACAGGATTTGTAAAGAGACAAAGGTCCCTTCTACACTGTCATATAATCCAGTTCAAAGCAGATAATCTGGATTTTATATGGCAGTGCAGAAGGGGCCAAATTCAAAAATGAATATACAATACCTCATATTATGGGTTAATAAATCATCCTGAAAGATGTAGATCTTTGCTACACGGAGGTGGCAAAGTAAACACAATGTATTCACATTATATTTTCTGCACTTGCGCTTTGCTACTCTGCTGCTGAATACACATGCCCAATGTGGAATACATCTCACTACATTAAAACAGTGGAGGTGGCTCTTAATGAAACATGCCGCATTATCACAGGATGCCTATGCCCCACACCACTGTAGAAATTATACTGTGTGGCCGGTATTGCACCATCTGACATCAGCTGGGAAGTAGCAGCCACTAATGAAAGAACTAAGGCAGTGACATCTCCAGCCCATCCGCTGTTTGGATATCGGCCAGAACGCCAATGCCTTAAATCAGCAAGCAAGAGTCCAAAAGTGGCAGACTCAGTGGATGATACCAGACAGGGCCGTAGCCAGAAAAAAAATCGGGAGGGGTTGAAATTTTCGGGGAGGGGGAGGTTGAAAATTTGCGGGGGGGGGGGTTTGAAACCTGCCTCCTAGCTCACGCTGAAGCAAAGAGCACAGCAGAGCAGCCTTCAATAGCCTGCAGCTCCGCCCCTGTCAACCACCTCCACCAAGTCTGGCCTCCTTAATGAGAGCATTCAACACCCCCCCCCCCAAACTTGGTTGCTTCACTACATCGGCTATTGCTGCAAGTAATGACAGTGTGAATAAATTGTCAATATTTGCTTGAGATAGTGCTTGCAGTTCTGGAGGGACTCTTAATTTTTTGCGTCTCATAGACTTAGCATGGGGATTTGGTTAACCAGTTAAAATTCATGAGTAAACCAGGTTTTTAAAAAAATCTGAAACATTTCGGGGGGGGAGTTGAACCCCTACCCCCCCCCCCCCCCTCGCTACAGGCCTGATACCAGATGAGACACTCCTCCCTGGACACACAGGAGACTGGGCAACTTGGAAGGCACTGAAAAGACTTACGCTCTGGTGCCATGCGATGCAGAGCTAACTGTAAGAAATGGGGCCACAAAGTGGAATTCATGACATGCAAGTGTGGAGAAGACCAAACCACAGACCACCTATTACAGTGCAGTCTGAGCCCTGTCACGTGCAAAATGGAGGATCTTCTTATAGCAACACCAGAGGCACTCCAAGTGGCCAGCTACTGGTCAAAGGACATTTAGCATAAAGCCAAGTTTTTAAAAACTTTGTGTTTTATATTACATCACAACTGTACCCCCAGTTTGGTTCTGATACAATAAATAAATAAACCTTTTCTCCGCTACCAAGGGATGGATCCTAAACCTAAGGGTTGGAGACTGGTGAAGATCGAAGGAGTCCCCTTGGCTGAGTTAACTGCGAAGAACTGGAATCAAATAAAAGACTTCCAAGCTCGGCCTGATGATGTTCTCATCTGCACTTTCCCCAAAGCAGGTAAATATACAGAAAAATAAGAAGCATTGATGTATCTGAGGGGAGAAAACAATAGAGATAGACATATAAAAGACTATTGATTGAATGCTGAGATTTTCATGTCTCTTTTTTCCCCATTCCTATTTTGGCAGGAACCGCCTGGATCCAGGAAATTGTGGAAATGATCCTGCATGGAGGTGATTCACAGAAATGTGATCAGCTTCCCATCTACCAACGGAGTCCCTTCTTAGACCTGTTCCTTCCAAAACCCCTTCTCTCAGGTGCGTAGAGTAACTCCTTCCTGGAGCAAGAGGAGAAGACATAGGGTTACCTTGTCTGGGGCTGAATGTAACTCTGTTTCAGGTGTCAAAGAGGCAGAGGAAATGCCCTCCCCACGGATCCTGAAAACTCACCTGCCGGCCAAGCTCTTGCCACCTTCTTTCTGGAAGCAAAATTGCAAGGTGAGGACAAGTTGCATGAGGTTAATGGGGGTTCAGAGTTTAATGTATGTTCACTTCTTTTGACAGAATACTAAGTTTGACTCCTGCTTGGCCATGGGGTTCATTTGTAGCACCCTGGTCCTGCTCCAGAATAAATAATGAAATAAACAGAAGGAATATCTGAGTGCCAGCATAATGTTACGAATTTTTGCAACTTTTGCATATTTGTGATGTATTAATTTCACTACAACTCTGGAGACCAGGATTCAATGTCTTGTTTGGACATGGAAACTAATTGGGTGGACAAGTCATAGACTGCTTCCAGACAGCCCTTTATCCCAGGTTCCTGGGGCCTGTCCACACCCACCCCAGAAAGTGCGTGCTTTTTTGGTGGTTGTCCAGATGTTCTTCTGGGACTAGTCCAGCAGAACACTTGGAGACCCTACCCCCCTCCCTCACAGCCCTCAAACACCTTTTAAAAGTAAAATAAACTTACCTCCTTCTCCCCCCCCCCCCTCGCTCTCCTGGCATGCCATTTCTACATGCCGGGAGAGCTCCAGCAAGACTGTGGGGCTGTGGGGTGCTGGGATTTCCACAGTTTTCCAGACTAATTTAATACAGAAAACTGTGGAATGGGGTATGGACTGCAGTCCAGACACCGGAAGTAGTGAGTTTATCCTGCGCCTTCCAAGAAGGTGTAGAATAAATCCACTATCTAATTAATTCACCACAAACCAGGGTTTTCCTGGTTATGAATCTTTTAAATAATAATAGTATAAAAATAGACCCAAAAGCACAGTGGAGTGGTGATTAAACTTATTATTTGTTTTGAGGTCCACTCAGAGGTTTTTTGTTTGTTTGGGTTTTTTTTTTTTGCAAGATTTATACAGAAAAGCTTTACTACTGGCTTTATCTGAAGCTGAGAGAGTCTGACTTTTCAGTCACTCAGTAGTTGCATGGGGATTTGAATCCTAATCTCCCAGAGTCTTAGTTCAGCACTGAAACCATTGCAACATGCTGGCTCTTGTCTTTTATATATCATTTCTCAAAGGAGCTGACAGCACAGTTTCCTGAGATGCATTAAATGGGAAATACTAAATGATATATACAGGCAGTTTTGGAAGAACGGCATTCACGACCTTTTTGAAAGAAAAAATGATGTCATATCCTTTTGGCAAATATGAATCTTTGTGAACATCTGGAGACTACCTTTTAAAAACCACTTGTCAAGGAAAGGCATGACCTTGTTAAAAGTCAGCCCTTTGAAAAAGTGATGTTCACAAGCATTCATGTAATGGCACACAGGTAACTCAGCCGTTAAACTGATAAACCATGTCTTTGAACTGCCAGGAACAAAGACATGCAACTGCACAAAAACATGTACTTGGCTAGCAGAGTTTTAATATGTTTCTTTGAAGTTGAAATTGCAGTTGCCCAAAACATATACTCTCCCTTGAAACTCTTAGTTTAAAAATATGCACTCAGAGACAAAAACAAAGTCTTCTTTAAAAAGTAACATATCTTGTTTACTCATAAACATATTGTATTAATTCAGCATTCATGCATATTTCTTATTAAGGTTCAGTTACATATAGGATGTAGTTTCTCTGTGTTGAGAACACAGGGCATCATTAATAGTCCACAGTCCAAAGTCTTTAAGTATACATCTTATGAAAGTCCAAACTGTATAACAGTACTCACTGCTTCTCAAACCAAACATATAGTAAACTGTTCCAGCATAAGTCCAAAATAACATCTGTTTCCATTGAAGTCCAGAACAATACTGCATCCACTGAGGTCTAAAGCAAACTGCTAACATTGAAGTCCAAAAGCACACAGATGATAAATTGGAGCCTTGAGCCTGAATATGCTCAGTACAACCACATGTGTGTAGTCCCTCCCACACCAAAGATGTCAGTCAAAATGGCAAATCAATATATACATACAAAACAGGTTAGCAAATATATACATTAACAAACAAATAGAGAAGGCTTGGAAGGTTGCTATTTCCAACAGGCAGTTCCCACGTTACAAACAAGATAGGTTCTGTAGGTTTGTTCATAAGTTGAATTTGCATGTGACAGGTACATTTTTAAAGTGTAACATTCACATACACATATAAGCTCTGAGTAACACAGGGAAGGCTTACCCTGCCATGTGATGTTTGCTTTGCTGCCTGCGCCCCTATTCAGAAAATTTCATGGCATTTTCTGTCCCTAAGATAATTGTATTTTGAGAAAAATGGCTTGCTGTGGAAACAAGGATTTGTGGGGAAGCTTCAAGGAAGACACCTTTTCCCCAGGATAACTCTTTTACGGGTGAATTTCCCTTCCGAGGGGTAGATTTCTCTGACTTCATGTTATCTCACTCCAGTTCTTAACAATGAAGCTTTGTAATTCAGATGTTTGTTACTTGAGGACTGCCTGTGCTTCCAAACTGACCTATTTCAGTTTCCTTTGTGAAATAATGTAAGTATATCATTTTGGGCCATTGTAGCACCTCGGTACCACTTTAAATCTCACTGCTCCATCCTATTGACGAGAAGGAATTATAAGATTTGCAGAATTCTGGAGCTTGTGGTTTGGAGACATACTGAGAATTCTCCACTATAAAGTCAGTAGCAAGTTCCAGGAAAATTGATTAGAACTCTCTATCAGAAAACTACAAATCACCAACCACAAATGGCCAATCACCAATCAAAAGATTCCATAAGATGAAGCCATTATGGTTAAATTGATATACAACTGAAATAAATGAGCCATCTGGATGCACCCTGGTGTAATGTTAAGATAAGTGGCAAGAGGTGGGGGTAAAAATACATCCCTAACATGTTGCTCCCCGGCAGGCCCGTAGCCAGGATTTCATTTCGGGGGGGGGGGGGGAATTTTTTTCAGGGGGGTTGGGGGGGGGGCGGAGGGGGGGCTGAGTCTGAGTGAAAGAGGGTCTACCCTAGGAAACCTTTTGTATCATTACCCCAATACCCCCATGCATATGGGATATATTGAGTATGGTGATCAGATCATGATATGAATAAACATAACAGTTTAAATAATGCACCAGTAAGGCCTTTTCGCGAACCACCATGAGAATTTTGGGGGGCTGAAGCCCCCCGAGCCCCCCCCCCTGGCTACATGCCTGCTCCCCGGGTGTCTTAAGCTGCTAGTAAGTTTCATCATCCTGCACTTGTATGGGGTGGACTGGCTGTGGATGATGGGAGTTTTAGTTCAGTAACTCAGAAGGATGCTAAGATATGGAAAGATTGAATTCCAAGTCTTCTTAATTTTACTGTCTTACCACAGATCATTTATTTGGCCAGGAATATCAAGGATAGTGCTGTCTCTATCTTCTGCTTCCATCACATAAACCACCTTCTTCCCAATCCAGGAGATTGGAACGATTTTTTGGAGAATTTCATTGCTGGGGAGTGTAAGTGGAGAGGTGAAATAAAAGCAAGAAGGACTATTTGCCAGAATGCATATAGAAGAAAGAATATTGTTTCTGTCACCTTCACTGAGTTCATTTCGGCTAGAGAAAATAGATTGCTTCTTGTTAGGAAAAGCATACTTGTTCAGATCATTTTTAATTATGTATTTACCAAAATTTCCATGTGTAAGGAGATAGAACAGACAAGCATGCCCATCTCATGAGTAACACAATGGATAGCTTGGAATTCAAAAAATGCTCTAAAGAAGGATATGACATTGACTGAACTTTAGAGGGAGCTTATGAATTGGTTTTCATTTCTGGGAAGGACAAGTAATGAAAAAGAGAGAGAACATTTCACCAGGATACTACTGTAATTTGTTCTAGTTAGGTGCTCACATAGTTACCTTGGGGCCATCCCAGATGATAGACTCCTCCCACCAAGAGATAGACCTCCACAATGTAGAGTTGAATTGCGTTTGGTCAAACATTTCACCTCCCTCCATGTTAATGTCAGTCTAAAATTAAGGAAGAAGAAGGAACCAGTTATAGGGTCCCCTGGTGGCACAGCAGGTTAAACCTCTGAGCTGCTGAACTCACTGACAGAAAGGTTTGCAGTTTGAATCTGGGGAAGCGGGGTGAGTTTCTGCTGTTAGGCCCAGATTCTACCAACATAGCAGTTCGAAAACATGCAAATATGAATAGATTAGTAGACACATTCTTCTGCGAGAATGTAATGGTGCTCCATGCAGTCATGCTGGCCACATGACTTTAGAGGTGTCTACGGACAAGGCTGGCTCTTCAGCTTAAAAATGGAGATGAACACCAACCCCAGAGTCAGACATGACTAAACTTAATGTCAGGGGAAACCTTTACCTTTATCTTTACCGGTTATATGGTACACAATGCCAGTATGGCTTTATTATTTCCTTTCCAACTGGGAAACATTACTTTGGGAAAATAACTGAGATGGATCAAGTTGCCACGCATCACTTACTAGTTTGTCTTTCAATGCAGGCACATATGGCTCGTGGTTTGACCATGTTTGTGGTTGGTGGGAAGCTAAAGACCACTATCCAATTCTGTACCTGTTCTATGAGGACCTGAAAGAAGTAAGCACCTCTTCTTCCTCACAAATAAAGAAACACACACCAAGATTGTACTTTCCATAAATGAGAATCTTAAAATTTATCTCTCCAGTGGGGTCATTAGGGTTGGTGCCATCCAGCGTGATATTATTATTTTGTGTCAAAAGCATTGCATAAATTAGTATAAAACTGATAAAAATAGAAGGAGCACAAGTGGCTGCATTGTCTGTAGCCTCAAACAATTCTTCCTCTGTCCATGAGGCAGGACAAGGTGGACAAGCATACAGATCTGGAGTAGTCTGTTCGGCTCCACAGTTGCACAAGGTGGAGAATTCATCTTGCCAGGTTGTCTTTTGATCTGCCCACTCCACTTCTGAATCTGTTTGGGGGCTTCCAAGTTGCCCATTCTTTGTTTGTCCCTGGAGGAAGACCCTCGGGGGAGGAGGGGCATCCAATTGGGATTTCCTGGTTTAGCTGCCCAGAGGGATGCTCTTGCTGTTGCTGGGGGAAGGTTAAGAAGAATAGCGGTTCTCATGAAGCTTTTCCTTTATTTGAGTCTACTGGGAGGATGCTGATAGCCATGCAGTGGATGGCTTTCACAGTGTTCAATCTTATCTCTCTCACAATTAGCAGCAATTTTCCATCACACATTGGGGGGGGGGGGGGAATGCCATCTAGCTTGTAGAGATTATCAGCAGGTGTAGGTTTAAGACATCCATCTGCATGTTTCATTCAATGATATCTTCATCTGTTTCTCATGAGGAGACTTGTGCCAAACAGGGCAGGCATATTCAGCAGTTGAGAAATCGAGGCCAGGGCTGATGTTCTTACTAATTTTTTGTCTGCTCCCCATGCGCTGCCAGTAATTTTCTGCAGGATGTTATTGCATGCAACTATTTTGTGCTTGGTGTTCATGCAGTGTTTCGTATATGTTAGTATTCGATCTAAGGTGACACAAAGATATTTAGGATGAAAACAATGTTCAAGCTCTTGACCTTCAAGAGCTCATGGTGTCACCATTACAACCCACTCCCAGGCCAGACCAGACCAAGCTACCGTATAGTACAAAAAATATCAGAATATTAAAGCATCATTACCACCCAGCATCCTGAGACTGTGCATCTCTTTTTGAATGAATTTAAATGTAGTCATGACTAAGGCTGGATCTAGACTGCCCTAGAATCTGATCCCAGATTATCTGCTTTGAACTGGATTATATAAATCTACAGTGCCAGATAATCCGGGATAAATGGATAATCTGGGGTCAGATCCTGGGATAAAGGCAGTGCAGATCAAGCCTAACTTACATTCAGTGGGTCTGATTTAAGTGTGCTGATTTGAGCATTGGAGTATGACTCTGGACAGCAAGGTCTATATCCCTGCTCAGCCATCAAAATCCAGATCACATATTTTTAATTTCAGAAAACCACATTATAAGGATTCCATAAATTAGAAATGACAACAACAACAACTGGCTAAATTGGGGTTGTCTCCCTTTCATGCTACCTCTACTACACTAGTGTTGAAGTCTGATTTATAAGGAGGTACAATAATGCAAATCAACATGCTAGGGGATCCTAATTATGGCAACAGAGCACGAATCAAATGAAGTTCAGAAGGGATTTAGAATCTAGAATCCTGAGATTTCAGTCAGTCTGACATTCCTTTCACAAAGAACAGGAAGTCCAACTCAATACACTTCCTCTCATATCTTTTTTGAAATCTAATTTCAGAACCCAGCCCAGGAAATTGGAAAAGTAGCACGGTTCTTGGGTGTAGAACTCTCAGAATTAGTTCTCAGCCAGATTGTAGAACACACCGCATTCAAGAGCATGAAAGTAAACCCAATGACCAATTTCTCCACCCTGCCTTCCTCTATCCTGGACCACACGGTGTCATCATATATGAGGAAAGGTAAGGACCAACATGATCAATTGAAGCCATGCCTGAAGCAGTGAGGTCATGATGTTGTTCTTGTTACATCAGCTGACTAGAGAATCTTGACTTAGAATTCCCAATTAAGCCATGTATCACAAAACAAAAAAACAGAGCCTGGTTGATTATTCTGGCCTGTTATGGGAAAACAAGCCAGAATCTTCAATTTGAATGATACACGGTATAGCGAGATTAAAGGATATCTAGGCTGGGGGGAACAACGATCAATCCCACCGCTGCCACCAATATAGCGAAGTTAAAGGCTGACCCTATGTTAAATAAGTCAATGACCAAATGTTCTTGGTAGTATTAGCCGCCACCACCTCAGAATTATTGGCCTGAGGAACCAAAGGTGTGAATGTGTTATAGGTAAGGGGTGTTTGAACTCTTGATTCTTCTATTATTTCTTCACTGGATGACTGGACCTTAAAATGAGTTTGACAGAGTGAGTTCTGAGGAAATGGATGGATTGAGGCATACACCAGTTAAAAGTTAACTAGAAAGAGT